CCTGCAGGACTACGCCCGGAGCATCTGGCCGGAACGTATCCTGTTGGAGCTACAGGCGGTACGGCAACAACCAGAGGACCGCATGGCGCAGCAACAGCAGCAGCAGCAGCAACAGGAGAAGATGCCACCTGCCGCTGTCGCGGGTGCCGCTACTGCGCCTGCATCCGGGCCTGGGGCTGCTACCAGGCTTGACGGCTCGGATAGAAGCGGCGGCGCCGCCGCTCTGGCCGCGGACTGGCGCGACGGCGGGCACGGGAGTGACGCTGTTGCAGCCTGGATTGACTTGCTGAACGAGGCACCTTACGGCCATAGGCGTGGCTGCAGTCGGAGGATTGCCAGTAATGGCAGCAGCAGCACCGATCGTGCAACCAGCGGTAGCCAGTACACGGAAAGTGGTGCCAGCGGGCATGCCGCCGCCACTGATGGCGGCGGATTATTAGACGGGACGGAGGGGGGCCGTACGGCAACACGAGAGACAAGCACAGAACGGAACTTGGTGGGCCGGCCCGGCGGGTTTTGCGGCACAGGGCCCAGCCAAGACGGCAGCGATATGCCGCAACAACGGACCTCAGAAGGTTGCGGGTTGCCCGTGCAACTTGAGCATCAGCGGACTCAGCTTTCCCCAGAGCAGGCGGTGGAGGAGCAGATACCCAGCGGGGGACCCGAGGTGCTGGCGGGGGCGGGGGGTAAGCAGGGCGGCGCGGGCGGAGACGACGTGATCAGCTTCTCCCACTTCCTGCCGCTGCAGGAGCTGCTGCCGGAGAAGCGCTACCTGACGTTTCCGAACCTGGTGGGGCCTTTACCCGCCACGAGTATTGCCTTTGCGGTCTTCGAAGAACGGCTATACGGTTATGGACTTAGGGGGATTGTGCATCATAAAGGAACCTTGAGCGATTAGGCCTCGTGATTACTGAGGTGTTAGTCGCGGATAGGGGGGGGAGGGAGCAGCAGCAACGTGGGGCGGGCGGAAAGCCGGTCGGCTCACTTTTTTTAAGTTAAATGTTACGTAGTACAGTCGTACACCGTGCGAATGTACGAGTGTACACTGCAGTAAAGGGTTATCTTCCTCATCGTCTGCCATCTCTTTCACACACAGGGGCCACCCATGAGGGAGTTCAGCGCAGCACGCAGCAGCAGCAGCTGAAAGCAGGGCAGTTAAAACCAGGGTGGTGTGCGGGGAGGAGGTAGCCGTGTGTGGAGCCCTCCTGGTGGAGAAGCTCCGGGAACCGTTGACTGCCTGCCGTACAGGTTACTATGTAGATCTGCCATGAACATGCCATGCAGCATCCCCAGCCCGCCCACCTCGCTCGCAGTTTCGCCAGGCAGCCCTCCCTCTCTGAACTCCCGCAGGCCAAAGCAGTGGGGTCCCGCTTCCTAGCGGAGCGGGTGCGGCGGCTGCGGCCCCATCTGCATCTGTTTGGCCATACCCACTTCGCCTGGGACGCTGTGCACGATGGTGGGTGCATCGAGTGCTTGTGACATTGCAATTCAGCTCTGGAGGGGCTCAGGATTTCCAGCTCAATTTCAAAGGAACAATGCGGTTTGAAGCATCATACTAAGATATTAGATGGGATGATTTCCTCACCCTTTGTGGCGGCGGCTTCCTGAAGTAAGTGGCTGGTGACGTTCATGGCTGACATGCGCCACAGGCATCCGCTTCGTGCAAGCGCCGCTGGCATATCCCTCGGAACGCCGTTTCCGATTGCGCTCCCTCGTCATGGCGGCGGCCGCCGCAGCCGAGTCGCCAGCAGCAGGGGAAGACGGCGTACGGGAAGGCGGCGGCGGTGGTGAGGAAGCCTGCACGGGTTCCGCTGCGGCAGCTGCAACCGTCAACGTGAGTACGGCACGGGCGGAGAATGCGGCAGTTACGCAAGGTGAGTTGTCCGCAGAAAGGGACGACAGGCTGAGGGACCTGCAAGGCCCGCCGCCATCAGCAGCCGCCACCGCTGCCGCTGGCACCGTCAACCACCCTCCGCATCCCCGGGACGAGCAGCTGCGGATTCAGGCCGCGGTGAACCTCCGTCGGCCGCAGAAGCAAAACATGGGCATAGCGACGGAGGTTGACAGGGCGGAGGATGGCGAGCAGCATCCGGGGCAGGCCCAGGGGCAGGGGCAGGGGCAGCCGGGGGAGGCCCGTTCACCCCCCTGGCCGTCCTGTGTTTCGGAGGGGGGAGACGTCAGCTGGTTGCCCCTGTGCATCTACCAAGCCGAGTACGTGGTACGACTGAGGAACCCGGAGATGGACCTGCGGGGTGTGGAGGGCAGCGGCGGCGGCGGAGGGGGGTTCGCGGCAGCAGTGCTGATGCTGCGGGACCTGCGAGGTGAGGAGGGCAACGGCGGCCGAAGTGCCGACGGCGAGTTTACAGCGTCTACGGCGGCGGTGTCGGGATCGGCGGTATCGGCAGCGCTGTTAGCGCTTGGCGGCGTCGAGGTACCCCCCGAGGTGGAGGTACTCGAGTGGCGCTCGCAGTGGTGTCCCGAGCAAGTGGTGAGCATGAGCGAGCCGTACAACCGGGACGTGTATGGTGGCGGCTTTCTCCCGCATGGGCGTCTTGTTGCACACCCGGGTACATCACGCAGGACGTTATGAACCCCCGCACGGACTTACATACATGCATGTGTCCTGAATTCCTAGCCCTCAAGGAAGTCCGGGTTCTGGACCCTGCCGGGCCCCTCCCCCCCAACAACGAGACACACACATACACACGCACACACTTCGCCGTGTGCATATTCCCGTGCCTACAAGACACTGACCCCCATGTCTGTCTGCCTTCCCGGACCACAGGCCATGTGGTCATCGTACTACAAACGCCATCCTAGGAGACCGCATGAGCTACAGCTGGCGCCTTGGGTAGCGGAGCGCTACAGCCGTCGCCTCCGCCGCAACATCGCCAAGCAGGTGACGCTGGGCCACGCGGACACGGCCCCGGCGGCGCCGCCGCCGCAGCTGCCACCATCACCGACGTTAGCACCCGCAACAGGATCGGCGGCAGAGGGAGACACGGCGGCCAACGGCAACGTCGGGGCATCGCCGGGTGCGAGTGACGGGGCTAGAGGAGGGACATGGTTGGGGAAGCCGACGAGAAAGGCTGCGTGTAAAGATGATAACGACGACGACGACGACAGCTGTCAAGATTGCGAAAGTGGCGGGCGGTGGGCAGGCTCAGAGGGTTGGGATCGCGACCTGGAGGTGGTGGCGGCTGCGGTGGGCGGCGTCGTATCCAACTCCCGCAGTAGCGCGACGGACGTAGAGGAGACGGAGCTCGAGTGAGCGACCCGCGGGTCGTTGTGTGGACACGTACTGTATCCTCCTCAAGCGGTGTCGGTCAGTTCGGCAGAGCCCTACTTGTGATCTAATCTATCGGAAAGAGCAGAGGGCCCACGATTCGATGTCGGGACGGCATCCGAGGAGTATTTTGTCCAAGGGTTAAATGTACAGCGCTGATAAGCCCAGAGAAGCCCAGTGAAGCCCAAAGAAAGGGTTTCAGCAGTCAAAGTAAAGAGATGTGTCGTTGCGCATACCTGCCCTAGCAACGGGTTTGTGGTTTTCAGCGTTGCACCCTGCGCAGTGAAGGCGAGGGCTCCGCCAGAAGGGTACTGCCACTTGCACACAGAGAGAGAGAGAGAGAGAGAGAGAGAGAGAGAGAGCGCCTTCGCAAGGGGGGGATGGGACGGAACCCGCGCCAGGGACTAAGGGAACGTGGTTTGGTACAGCGTGTGACAACGTGGCGGTATCAGATTTGACAGAAAACATGCGAAGTGGCGTAATCAGGTAGACACAGTACCAGACTGGCCTTGTGCACTGTACAGCATCCAACCGACACAACCGCTGTGCAAGCCGAGCGCAGAAAGCCTCAGTTTCCGCTATAAGCTATGCTTTTGCGAAAATCGATAAGAATAGTGGCCATAGCTACGGACGGAACGGGTGAGTACCAAGATCAGACCCTCCTAAACGACCGAAGCTTGGCAGTGAGGGCTTCACCCCGTTTGGGTGTTTCCGGTGGGGACCCGCGGCGGTGGGAGCGCAGTCGGGGGCAGGCTGTGGTGGCGCAGTCGGGGAATCGGTCGACATGACAACAGTCGCCTGCGAGGGGTGGGAAGACAAAGCAATTTTAAAACCACACGCTCCACAATGAAGGAGCGGTGCAGGAGGAAAACATTCTGGATGTGCTTTAGCATATCTTTTGATTTGTACGGCAAAAGTTGCCTGTATGACATTGGGGGGTTGGGGTTGCGGAACTCTTTGCGCGGAATCCTCGATAACCTCTAATAAGTAGACGTCTGACTGTAAAACTATGAGCTTTATTGGAAGGTTGATACCTAGTTACAGGGCCCACATCGTGAGCTTTCTGGGTGGCATTTGTCACATGGGGCATGTGCAAAAAAATGGTGAAGGATTGCTCAAGATGGATTCTGGCTGCAATCCGAAAAAGCAGCGTATACACAGTGTACGGATACTCGTCCTGCTGCGCCCGCTGCTGGAAGTGGGCCGGGGATGGCGGCGCGGTACTAACGAACTCGGCACAGAGGGCATGAGGGAGTGAGGAGCAGAAAAGAAACCGTGGACAGGCGGAAGGAAGCGCGAGAGAAGCCGTAGGGGATTTGCCAGGGCAGAGGGAGCTAGTTGCGAGGGAAACATCCCGAGAGGGGCCATCCGTAGCTCTGCACATGCCTTCAATGTTTTCAACATTTCCACGATGCTTAAATATTATGATCTTGTGGGATTTATACAGTTGCACGGCATGGTTCCAAGTCCCTACTCAAGGACTGTAACACAACCGGTTCGGGGTTCTTCCTGGGCCAGTAGGTCGAGCTGCATACCAGAGGCCGTTACAAGAAGGGCTCCGAAAAACATTAACTTCCCTGTCGTTGCAGTTGCAGTTGGGTCGTTGCACAAGTAGAATCCACCCTCTCCTCCGACATGAAGAGCGCCAAAGTTAGCCACTGGTCCATAATATCCATAGCGACTTACCGATCCGCAGTACTCGGGATCACACAGTCGCAAACCCTCTTCCCTGCTGCGACCTGGGCTTCCAAGTGCCTCAGGTCGCCACACATGCCCCGAACCCCAGCCCAGGGCAACTACTGCCCCGCCTATCCTACAGACACCCCACCGTCTACCCCGCCGTCTTTCAACGAGTTATCTCCCGACCGCGTCTTCAGGAGCTGGGATACGTCCCCAAGCCCGACAGCCCCACCGAGCGGTTCGAACCCGTCATCCGCCTACCTACCGTGCGAGGTACTTGTTCCCAACTACACGCACACTCAAATCGCTCATCCCCCCCCGGCAGTCAACTCGCATGTTCCTTACTCCACTCCGCTCGTCTGGTGTTGTTGTATATCTGCCCGGACATCAGCCCTCCTCCTCCCCCTCGCCTGCAGTCGCAAGAACCGCATACCCGTGTTGGTTCCCCCTTCCCCCATGTGCCCCGAACGGCGCCTCAACCCACTGCCAATCGGCTTAGGCACAAACGGCGCCTCCTAATTAGACACACGACACGATGCTCATCGCAACTCCACCAGTCACCTCTCGGCTTTGCAAGACGGACAGACAGACGATCAAGCAAGAGCCAGCTCATGGCGGTGGCTACACTGCTGCCGCCTCCATCCCTGGACCCCGTGGAGCACCGGACAGCAATCTTGCCCCCCGCCCCGTTCCGTCCCTCCGAGCCGCACGAGGACACACACGCAGCGGTAATGCTGGCACCACCAGGGGGGATCGTGGCAAGGTGCGAGGTGGACAACAAAAGGGTCACCATTCCGGGAAGGCCTCCAAAACTATTCACACACAGAAACACGCAACACACATTGAGGTAGCCGACACACCAAAACCGTCAATGGCGCCTTTCTCCTGCCCGCGCCGTCTTGCGCGCCACACAGCCTCGTGAACGCCTGGAGACCTTCGTAGTCCTTGCAGCTCGACCGTGGGGCGGCGCGGCGCTGACGGGATTGCGGGCCGTGCCGGTCAACACTGTACCGCTTAGTAGTCGTAGTCACCGCCGGCAGCCGGCGCCGCCGCCTTCTCCTTCTCCGGTATCTCTGTCACCACCACATCGGCCAACAGGAAGGTCTTGGCCACCGAGCAGGCGTTCTCCAATGAGCACCTGAAGGGAGAAGTGAAGTGTTGCGATGGACGCAGGCAGCAGTTTTGGATATGGGATCCAGCTCCCCAGGGGCACACTCTTCACCGCTGTGCCACGATGAACTGAAAATTAGATCGATTAGATATCTTAGCCTCTGAGCTCAAAGACACAAGTTATTCGACCTTAGACTCACTCACAGATTAGAGCTCAGGTATTATCCGAAAAACAACAGTGCCGCCGTGGAGTCGTACCTGACGACCTTGGTTGGGTCGATGATGCCGGCCTCCATGAGGTCCTCGTACTTGTCCGTGGCGGCGTTGTAGCCGTAGTAAGGCTGTTCGATATTGTCCATCACCCTCTGCATTACCACGCTGCCGTTGACACCGGCGTTGTTGGCAATGAGCTTGATGGGGTACGACAGCGCGCGCTTGATGATGTCCGCACCCATCTGGTTCCATTCCGGACGACCGCAGACGGACAAACAGACATACGCACGAGGGGAAAGGTTCAGAGGATTGATGCGTATGAATTATTGAGCACATTGTGCGGTCACGCACACACGAAAGGGTCGCCTTTCATAATTCTACGAGTGGAAGGATGCAAAAGGTCGCTATAGCGCAGGAAGTGTGTTTGCTGCAAAGTAACGACCATCAGCGTTGCCAACCGACAGCTTAACAGCAGCAACAACCTTAAGACGCCCTAACAACGCAACCGCCTCCAAATCTCCCTAAACACGCCCTACACCGCAGGACGACAGCCCTAACGAATTAGGCCGGTACCCCCCCACCCCGCCCCTCTCCTTTTATAATCACCCGCCTCTCATAATCATCCCCCCCTTACCCCCCCCCACACACATACCTTCTGCTCCTCATTCTCCAGCGCGGCCCGGATCTGGTCGACGTTCTGACTGAGTCGCAGCAGCGTGCAGCCACCCCCGATGACAACACCCTCTTCCACAGCCGCCTTGGTGGCATTGAGCGCGTCCTCCACTCGGAGCTTCTTCTCCTTCAGCTCGGTCTCAGTCTGGGCACCAACCTGCACCGCGGACGACGACACGCAACACCACCGCACAGGCACCAACATTATCACCGGCAGGTGTTAGCGTCAGCGGGATCACTCGCGGCAACAGCAAAATATGAGCAAGACGATTATTCGACGAAAACGATAAAATAAAACCCAAAAAAGGGATTATCCTGAATCTAATCAAAGGCAACGAATATAACGATATTGTTTAGCGCGGATCACGAGGATCAACGTGACATCTGCCGCACACCTGGATGATGGCGACACCGCCGCTGAGGCGAGCAATGCGCTCGTTGAGCTTCTCCCTCTCGTACTCCTGTTCCGTCTCCGCCACCAGATTGCGGATCTGCTTCACACGCGCCTCCACCTCCTTCTGCGTCCGACCGTCGCCCACAATGGTGCAGTGCTCTTTGGAGATGGACACCTGGCAGGGCAGGGGGTTCGGACAGGTGTATAGGTGGTTTCGAGGTGTCAAAATTATCATTATTATAGTATTGTAGACCACGAAACCACAAGACTAGATCCAGGTGGATGGACGAGCGGCAACAGCGGAAATCAATCCTCCGCCGTAACAGCTCCCCTCCAGAAGAGGCGCATCGAGTGGGGCCGCCACGTGTTGGTGAGACGGCCATACACCCACCCATTTCACGAGCTGCTGCAACCCATATCGGCATTCGAGTGACAACAAGCAGAGCCTGCCTGGTAGCCGAGTCCTCCTACAGAATGATGAACTCCCCATCCCCCCCTCAGTCCATGTCCCCGGGTGCCCCGCACCTTGGCCGCCACACCCAGCACCTCCTCAGTGGCCTTGTCCAAGGTGATACCCAGCTCGTCCTTCACAACCGTACCGCCAGTCAGGATGGCGATGTCCTCCAGGTATGAGGACTTGCGCTCTCCGAAACCAGGAGCCTTCACGGCGACCACCTGCGCGGGAACACAGCCGCAGCAACCGCAGCAGCGGCGTCAAAAACAGCCAAAGCTGCCGCAGTCGCCGCCACCACCACCACCGCCGCGCTCTCGTGGGTCAGCCGCGGGTCAGGAAACAAAGCCCCCGAGGGGGAGGAAAAGAGTCTCACGCAAGCACATTAGCGGACAAGTCGTCGGGAACAGGTAATGCATCAACAACACGTTAATGGCCTCATCACATTCCATCCTGGTGCCCGGTACTAACAAAAAGCTAGCACATTCAAAATGCCCGTTCCGTCGTACACTGCAGTACAGTGATGAAATTTTAGTCCGCACAAATGTAGTGCACACAGCTGCACAACAGAAACGCCCTCCTCCGCCCTCACCCCCCCACACACCTTGAGGGTGCCCCTCAGCTTGTTGACCACCAGGGTGGCCAGAGCCTCCTGCTCCACGTCCTCGGCCATCACAAGCAGGGGGTAGTTGCCGCGAATGGCGGACTCCAGGATGCCGATGATGTCGCGGGCGGTGGAGATCTTCTTGTCCACTAGAAGGATACGGCAGTTCTCGTACTCGCACAGCTGTGGGCACAACAGCGAACATGGTTGAAATGACACTTCGCACCATCATCATCATCTAGGGAATAGCAGCACCCGCCAAATAAGTTCAGACAACCCTTACAGCGCCCGAGATGGCTGCAGTAGCAGCACCGCATGCTGGTGCCGGTGGCCGTTAACCGCATTCCAGTATCCACCAGTCCCCAGCTCCGGGTCGTTTCCCTCCGGCCCATCGTGCCCCCGTTGCCGTGGTCGGCTACCACCAACCGATCAGCATGGCCGGGCGGTCAGCCCGCCGGGCCCCCAGTGCCAGTGACAGTGCCAGTGACCCACCATGCGCTCTGGGTCGGTGACGAAGTACGGCGAGTAGTAGCCGCGGTCGAACTGCATACCCTCCACCACCACCAAGTTGTCCTCCGCCGTCTTGGACTCCTCCATAGTCACGACGCCCTGGCGGCCAACCTGGGGACGGGAACGGTGTAAAGGGAGGTTAGGTGGGAGGACCGCTGGGTGAAAGGAACCGCAGCCGGACCGCTCCTGGCGGTCGGGAAGCACAAGCTGACTTTACCTGCCGTGACACTGGCGTTGAGCCCAGAGGAACGGGGTTGTTCAAATTCAACTTAGGACTGACAATGCCAGTACTATGGTCTGCTCAAATAGTCAAGCTAGCACTCATCGCCACCAAGATCCGTACAGGCCCCGCTAGCTCCCTAGATATGATATTTGCTAATACACGATGGGAACAGTTCCAACAGTTCGCCTACCAACACCAAAACATTACAGATCACATTCAAATGCAACAAGCAACAACAACTCGTGTAAATCTCCCCCCCCCCGGACCACCCCGCCTGACGACCTCCTCCACCCCGCGTACCTTAGCCATGGCGTCCGAAATGAGCTTGCCGATATCGGCGTTGTTGCCCGCGGACACTGCCGCCACGTTGGCCAGGTCCTTATCCGAGTTCACCTGGCTGGAGGCGGACCGGAGCTCCTTCACCAGCGCGGTGACGGTCTTCTCCATTCCGCGAGTCAGCTGTTGGGACCAGGGTGGACAGAGTGCGATGGAAGGGGAGGGAAAAGAGAGAAGGGTGAGATGTTGTCGTGGCTTTCAAATTAATTTGAGCCTAAGACACATGTAAGAGGGAAGGCAGAAGAACGTGAAGGTGGGTCAAGACGAAACACTGGCGAGTGAAACAGATACCGGGGATAGACGGGTCCAGTCCAGGAGAAGATTGATGCTGCGAGTATATTTATTGACCAGTAATGGCTGTAAAGATTGGGTATCCGAAAGGATGTCAGCTCGAGTAAGCCGCTGGCTTGCTGCGGAGCGGAAGAGGCTCAAGAGGCCGGTCTCCCCCAAGGGGAGGAGCAGCGGGGCTCAGGGACAGGGGGAGAAGCCTCCCCGGGGAAAGCAGCCTGAAACACCCTGCGCCTGCGCATTATCTAACCTCCGCCATCTAACCACCATACAACCGCCAACTAACTCCGCCCACCTGCACGGGGTTGGTTCCCGCCGCCACCACCTTCATTCCCTCCGCGATGAAGGCGGCGGACAGCACTGTGGCGGTGGTGGTGCCGTCTCCCGCCGTGTCGTTGGTGCGGGCCGCCGCCTGACGGACCAGCTTGGCGCCAATGTTCTCCACGGGGTCCTCCAGCTCCACCTGGTGGGCGGGGGGGAGGAGGGGGAGGAGGGGGGTCTGGGATGCCGGTGCACGAGGGCGATTGTGTATGATGTTGCAGTGCTGTGTGTAGGAGTCGCCGAGGGGATGCAGCACGACATTATAAAAATTGTGGTGTGTGTGTGTGTGTGTGTGTTGGTGTGATGAGGGAAATGGAATTATCATGCGGCGCAGTGAGCCTCCTCCCCCCACTGGTCACCTAGAGTGGCTCTCCCTCCACCCATCGACCCCGCCGACCCGGGGTACACTGGCTTCAGTGTCAGCATGCATGCATACATACATACATACATACTAGGAAGAACGCTTCTATAGCCCGCTCGCGATCTCTCCCTAGTCTCGCTCTCTCCCCGTCCCCACGTCACCACCCACCCCGCCTGAACACCGGCTCCCCAGCCCGCACCCCGTCCTCTCCTGAACCCCCGCACCTCACGGGCAATGGTGACACCATCATTGACGATCTTGGGCGAACCGAATTTGGACTCCAACACGACGTTGCGACCCTGAAGGCGGGGATGGCCGGGGGGTTGCCGGCGCCGAGGGCAGCGGCAGGGGTGCGGGGGACGGGAGCTGTTGCAAAGGATGTCGTGGGAAAGATGCGGAGTGCGGGACTTACAAAACCCGTAACATTATACCAGGTTTAATATCGATTTGGAAACCATGTGTCACCTGTGACAGCCCTGAACCCAACTGAGGTAGGGCTAATGCGCCGGAGCAGGATGGCAAAAGGACATGGAAGAGGTATCCAGGTCCCACCATGTACGGGTGACAACAACCACACCATTCCGCAATCAGGGGGGCTCTTCGCGCAGCTATGAGCGCATCTATCAAACCGTGAGGACAACCGACAGGCTGCAGCCAATACCTCACAGCTGCAAGGCCCCTGCTAACACTGGGAGGATGCGCACACACTTTTAGGTAGCACGAACTCTCGATTGCCCCGCAAACTCGCTAAGCCAGACGCTCAACCACACGACCGGTAACATCATCACCTGCGCCCACCCAGTCAGCAATCGCACTTGGATTCCATAGACAGACCCCTTCACACAGACTCTCTCCCCGTCAATTCATATCTCGAAATAGTAACCCCACTCAAAGAGACATCTGAGGAAACTCCGCGCGCCTCCACAACCACACTCTCTCCAGCCCACCAAGCAGCAGTCGTGCAGCGGCCAACAATCGGATGACGGAATGACAGCGCTTTTGTCTTCAATCCCTAATTATTACAATCATAATCTAAGCCCATTCAATGCTTTCCATTGAACTAAAACCATCAATATGACATTATAGAGTTTTTCCCCAGCCTCCACCGTGGACATAACAATGCCCTTAGCTGAGTCCCTTCCCTTAAGCCCAATAATGTGAGGAGAAGGAAAGGCAGCAAAAAGGAATTACCTTGGGACCAATCGTAACACCCACAACAGTGGCCAGCTTGTCGACACCAGCCTGCATGCGCTTCAGCGCCTCCATGTTCTTGTTGAAGTGCAGCTCCTTGGCGGCCCGCACAACAACGCTGCGCCTGTGAGCAGAGACACAAGTCAATTGAGGCGGTGCGGGAAATAGAACGCCACGCACGGGGGCTCAGCGTGCCGTAATGCAGTCGCAGCTGGGTTCTTGCGTGCGCCAGGAGCTGACTGCACGTGTCGGCATTGCAGCTATGACATTCCGAAATTAGTTCTGATCGACACGTTGTGTGGCTGCAAAAGTGTCTACTTGATTTTTGCGGCGGCAGCAGCACCCGACATTCACCATATCCACAAGTTCTGAGTACATACCCCGATGATGCCAGTGTGCCTCCATGAATGAATTATGGGAATGATATTCATACAAAACGGCACTGCCAATTTGCGGTGCGAAACACGAGTCTTAATTACCTGCCCCGGACGGCGCGAGGCGCCGACGTCTGGGCCTGACCGCCCACCAGCGACCTGAGCAAAGCAAATTTCAACGGTACCATCGGATTAGCACTGCGGTATCCAAACGAGTTTGTCTCAAGTTGCACGTCGACGGCGCGACTAACCCACCTCATCTGGGTGCCTGCCATTGCTGCTAGTGTTCGTTCAACAAATTTACAGGCGACACTGTAAACAGACGTTCAGTGGTGCAGACATCAGAGTGTTGCTGATCGACAAATAGACTCCGAAGCTCGGAAGCTCCAGGAGGGGGCCTGCTTTCGGGTTCTAGACGCGCTAGACTGTTCTCAACGGACGACGTCTTGCTGAAATGGTTGAAAATACTCAGTATGACATTAGCCCATGATAATACTAACAAAGCTCATGTAATGGATTTATGACACATCCAATTCCTTATCGGTAAACCTCAACGACCGATTTAGGAGAACACAATGCCATTCAAATTTAAGCCGGTCATCACGTTCAAGTTGGAGCTATTATGATTTCTTTGCCTTACGCTCATTTGGGGACTTAGGAAAGTGCTGGACTGTGCAAGATGTTCGCGGGATGGATAGTGCAGGCCGTCCATACGTAGTACATAACCCAGCCGTGCGGCGATATTCGGACCACAATCAATAGAGTTATCGTAATTCATGTACAATTTAAGCCCTGGTAAGTGTCGTTTGCCAGTGGGTCGAGGCCGGGTGTGGTATGGCAATATACCCAGGAAGAAGTGCTTCGATGCCCTGGTAACCAACTGCTGTAAGTGTGATTGCAAATCAGAGGTGCCGCACAAGTTCCCGTCCGCAGAGACTAGATACGAGTGCAGCTATGCTGTAGCTGTGGCAGTTCAGCCGGGCTGTCAACCCTTTATACTAGCTATAATCCATACTCCTGCGTGCACATACCTCAACCTCCGTATACTGCCCAAGGTGCCACATAGTAGTTCCAAGCCGACACTTGCAACTAACTTACGTTGCTTTATGCCGTACACGGCAGATGGCCCGCGAGTTGTTACCTATGCATGGAATTTTGCAAGTCTTACAACTCAGTTTGTACACGAAACAAATATAGGGTTAGCTTTCCCGCTTTCTGCTAAGGCCGAGGGTAGCGGTGGACCTTGCGTTTCGTCAAATATCAGCATAGCAAGCGTCAAATAAAGGCTTAGATATAAACTTACCGTCCTGGTGGTAACAGATGTCGCATCGATTTTGTGGCCACCTTTCGTTAGGGCCGAACAGACAATTTCCGACATCGATACCTTCATTTCGTTACAAAGCCCTAAATCGGAAGCGGATAGTTTGCTGGGCCTTTGTAGGCGATGGAAATGGTCTTACTGGCTCGAACGGGTAATTTGGGTCGACGCACAAGCCTATGCAACACCGCCCTGGATTGCGCCTAACCGTCACGGCCGACGATGGTGCAGGCACGCGGGCCTACCGTTGTCCATGTTCACTCCATATAAACAGTTACCACCTGAAGGACAGGTGAGACCCCAAGAATTGGGGTGAGGTAGTCAACCTAAAGTGTGGAGCCAGATTCCCCCGCACAGTTAGGCCATAGCCCGGCCAGCATGGCTTTCGGCCTGCATACTCACGCCGTATCCAGGAGTCAAGCATGGCCGTGACCCCACCTGGAGAGGGGTACCGCTGTATCTGCGGGATTGCACCTTTCATTGTCGTAATGTTGGTTCATGTCAATGATGGAATTCCCCGACCATGTACGGCTCTCCTTGTGTGCGCAGATGGTTCCCGCCTCAGATGCCGCCTGCGATCCAACCGTTCAGAATTGCAAGGTGCGTAAGGAAAGAGCGAGCGGGCAACTAGCGGGAAAGAAGACGTAGGGAGGGACGGGACGCAAGGTGCTGTAATTTCTGCACGGCTCTGCATGTAAGTATGCCACGCACGCCTTACGACCTGAAGCTCTCATACCCGGGGAGCCGCAGCTGTCGAGTATGCGGCCGCCAAGCTTCACAGAGGCCTGGCTCCCGACCTGCGAGCTTCATCCTATCAGGGTTTGCCCACCTCCCCTCCAGTTTATGGCGTGTCTTATGCACCCTTAACCGAAAAGAGGTTCATTCACGCACTATCGTGCTGCGTGTGTCTTTGCCTTTGCCCCTTGACTTCGCATCGTCTCATCTTTGCCTCATCTCGCCTCGTGACACCTTCTCGGCCCTTCTTGCCCGTCACACGCCGTAGACCCTGATATACACCTACGAGAGCCAATGCATGAGCTGCAGCGGCACAGGGTTCGTGAAGAGTCACGCCAATGGTCGACGTGCAAGTCTGTGCACCTGCTTGCTGTGCCATGGCCTAGGTGCGTTGCGTGGCTGGCGAGGATGATGATGATGTTGATGTTGTTGTTGTTGTTGTTGTTGTTGATGATGATGATGATGATGATGTTGATGTTGATGTTGATGTTGATGTTGATGTTGATGTTGATGTTGATGTTGATGTTGATGTTGTTACAGGGTGATTAAGCTTCACCAGTGGCCTCCTTCCCGAGGCAGTTCCCTGCTCTCCCCTGCTAGAGGGGCACCCTAAGCCATTCACCCCATCCGACTTCAGAATGTACTCTTTGAGTTTGGCAACTCACCACCGGCATCCATCCAAATCTAGCGGATCAACGGCGCGTCAACTTAGTTCCTGGTCAGCTCGCGAGTTGATTTTATCACGTCCTACACCGTCCACAAGATGGGGGGCCACCTCCCATTTCATCACCTCTCAAACACCCCGAGAGGTCGGCAGGCGGATTTGAACCCGGACGCGCCGGGAGCAGAAGCCAGGCCTTAACCTCTGCCACTCGCCTGCCTATGTTGATGATGTTGATGATGTTGCGGCGCACCTTGCATTATGAGGACATATAACGGTCTTCCACCCCCCCAAACATCCATTCGCCCAACAGACACACGGCTGCTCTGAGTGTTCCCCCTTTGTCGTGGTTCGTCTTTCCCCCTTTGTCGCCGTCACCGCATCAAGCTCTCGTCCTCTTGTTGCTGTGGATCCCCCCTGGTGGCTGTAAGACACGGCACCGAGCCCTCTTAGCTACTACCTTACCCCGCTCTCCCACCCGCACCCGCACCCCACCAGGGTACGTGCGCCGCACCACCTCTCGCTTCGTGCCGGAGATGGGGGACCCCGAGGGCATCTTCACGATGGCGCGTCCGGAGCATGAGCCAGATCCCGGGCCCGCACGAAACAAAGGCAAGGCCGACAGCCATTGAAGCCATTCCTAAGTGCTAGAGCTGGACTTCAGAGCTGGGGCCCATATATGTCCCGCATGTGCGTGGACGTATGATCATTCATCGGCAACAACTACACGCCGTTTATGCTCGTGCCGGTGCCAGCGGCGGCGGCTTGAGCGGCAGCAATGGCAGGAGCAGCACACCGCTACCATGCACGTAGGTGCCGCAGAAATGTCACACATTTGGTCGGGACTTCGGAGGTAGAGACTGGTGACTTCAGGTGCAGCTTTCCATTGATGCTGGTGTAGGATAGCAGGGGCTCAGGAAGAATTTAGATTTGTGGCCCAGTTGTGTGTGTGTGTGTGGTTTAGTCGGGGTGGAGCGAGGTGCTGGGAGGGCGTGTGGTACGGCTGCGATGGCTGGCGAGAACTGCAGACCATATTGGTTCTGGCTCTTCATCTGTTGATCGGTAGGCACCGTCCCAAGTAGATGTGGGGGTGAGGGCGCGCGGCATGTGTGCGGGTTGCGATACTGTGGGAGTGTTAGTATTTCGCGTTTGTACAATGTGCTGGGGTGATGCGTGTTGCGGAGTGTTCAGTCAATTTACATTATCTTCAAAGTTGCGGAGTGTTCAAGGTTTAATTATATTGCGTTTCATGTGATCTTCGTGCGGAGTTCGTGGTGTGTCGTGTCATCTCAGCTTCTTGTCAAGTGCTGTGCTCATCAGGCAACCGCACTCAGGTGCACCTCCGTCGTGCAGCCGTGGCGGTGTGGGGCGTGGATACCACGCTCGCTCCCACACGTGCGGGGACACGGGACTCTCGTGGAAAACGTTTTCTCGAAGGCAAGCTCTTGAAGAAGGCTTGAACAATAGGGTACATTGCAATGCAGAGCTTGCAAGGTGATGCTAGGATCTGTAAGGCGACACCCCCCCCTGATCTGAAGGGACTGTCGGGGAACCATATGCGTCTACATGTACATACATATGGATTAGGGTGCCCCCCTCGCAGGGGAGAGCAGGGAACTGCCTCGGGAAAGGGGGCCGCTGGTGAAGCTATACCACCCTGTAACAACATACATACATATGCTTATAAAGCCGACCCGTAGGCCAAAACAAGCTCAGGAAACAACAAATTCCGCCAACGCCAATGCACGACATGTGCCTTCCGCATGGGGGGGTTCTCTCGCATGTAGATGGCTGTGACAGCGGTGGGACACAGTCGGTTGGTGAGACACTCTCGCTTAAGGTTGCCCCTGTCGGACACAGTCCACTCTTCAGCGTGTTATCATGCCTTCCGAAATGCGCGTGTGCCGCGATGTCATTGGCCACGCACGAAAACAGGCGACGTCGGGGCGGTGGCCAGACCGCCACCATTATAACCATCGCCGCCTTCACCGCTCGAATCATGCTACGCCCACGGGACGGACACTGACCACTATCACAGCCTACACCATTATCAACACCACTAGCAGCACATGAGCCCATCTGCACATGAGCCCATCTGCACGTGGACGATCTGACTTGACCTGACCCGCCAGGAGGGGGGCCCTGGGAGCTTCGTTCTATAAAGGAAGCTCCACCGGGAGGGGACGCAGAGGCCCGGGAGGGGAGCCTTGCGCGCGTGCGTGCCCCCACCGTCTAGGGTTTGGTTGTTATTACAGGGTCGATGGGTGTGTCCGGTGTGCTGCTAGAATGACAAATAGCCCTCGGTGCTCGGTCAGGGTGTGTCTTGAATGCGCGTGCGTTCGTGTATTTTTCAACTTGCTGTGCCACGTGAGCAACGTCCTGATGCGATGCAACTTGCAGCTTTGCTTAAGGGGAAGTACCATTATCCAGGCGCCCGTGATGAGGTCGTGTGCTTATTAGTCATGGCGTGTAGGTCGCGATGCTTGAACTGTCTGTCTCAAGCATTGACATACCAGGCCGGGTAGTAACTGCAAACCTACTGCGGACCGAGGCAGATCTCGGTATGCTGTTTACGTCAGCTCGCACGTCGTCAAGTAGCAGTCCAAACGTTCGGGATGCGGTAAAATCTTAGATAAGGCATTGCCGTTCATAGCATAGCCGTAAGGTTGGCCATGAGATTGGTCTTGCGAAGGACCTGAAATACTAAGCTGCTATGCGGGATGGTTGTGTCCCTGCGGAGATTCAGACCGGGGAAGGTCCGCGGTTCACCGTGATTAGGTTCAGGAATACTGACAGCCACGGAACCACATGTCCAACCTAGCATGAGCGGTGTGGCCGGTAGCGGTGTGGCTAACTGGCAAAGCATATAGGACCGAATTCAATGCTGCAAGAAGGGTCGAGCACGATATGGGATGAGTGACGTATTGGAGACCCGCACGCTTTGCGATGAGGATGCCAGTGAGTATTTCAATTCATCACCATGCGCAAGGCAAAGGCCCAAACACAGTTGTGGGCCATTTACTGCGCCGCAACGGCCACATCGTCTCGGACTCCCAACTTAACAGCTCTACAAGTGCTCCACTCCACACAAAATACAAGAAAACAAGCAAATTACACATGTATTACCAACCGAAAACACCCGTGACGACGGGACATCCAGATGAACAAACGCCAGTGGCACCTCTAAGAGGCCTCCATCCCTGAAATCATCTCCTCCACCGTAGCGCAGCGAAACGCCCGTCCTGCCCGGTCCTCGGAAGAGGAGCGACAAAATGGCGCCAGTCAGTACCCCAGGCGCAATGCCAGAAAGGTCTTGGCACTGCAGCCAAGCCCTCTGGATGCGTTGCGAGAGTACAGCAAGACAGCCTCCACACAAACAAACTCGCACCGATTAACTTGCTTCCCCTGAGCGCGCTGACCAGCTAAGTCCATGAAACGCAAAAGCCCGTTGCGTCACCCTTACCATTGAACTCCCTGCAGCCAGTACCAGCACTCTTCCACCCTTGCAGCACAGCACACCAGCCAGCAGCCCAGGCCACATCAAAGAAAATCTTCAAAAGGAAAATCTCAAACAAAGCATCGAGCCGACTACCTTGATCCCAGCGCCCCGTCTTTCCAAGCAACACACAGCAGTCTGCGACCCCTCGTTGGCGTCCCCCCGTCAGCGACGCGACGTCACGCAAAACAATCTGGAGACACTGGTGACACGGGCATGGCGCATTTATTGTTTCAGCCCGCCTCGCAAGCCGCAATATCGGGCCTCTCGGTGCGAAGACGGTCCAGCCCGCAATCCCAAAATTGCAAACGACCCGCAACCATTACCGCAGGAGAACCAATGGCTTTTGCATTCCACAATGCCCAGAAACTACCTGATAACTTGACAGAGGTTAACGCATTCAGGGCCAGCCAGGTAGACAGCACTGTAACAACAGCAGCAGGTTTAAGGAACTGAGCACTCCTTTGGCGTCAAGCCAAGCAACAAGGCGACCAAGTCGGAGACAGTGCATCCAAGTCTAGATGAACAAAACACGCACATATCGAGGCCGACGATCAATGCGGTGGCGAACGCACAGGATACCGACACACGCGTGAAATACTCAAGACGTTGCTGGATACACGCCAGATGCGACGCACCTGGTAAGATGACAGCTTTCTTTAGATAGAGAGAGACGATAACTGGATATCCCAACTTATACAACAACTATGCAAACTGGGGCGAGGTGCTGAGGTTAGCGTCGCGTACACCTTATGCATCGCAGCCTGCTGGTGCTTCGGTGTCGTGCCCCGGGTGTCTATGTGCTGAGAGATTGGGGCACTGCCCGCCGATACACCTTTTCATAGCAGCTGCTGCCAACGCAGCCCCGCCCTGTCGCCAACAGAAATAAGCTCTTACAAAAAAAGTACGAAGAACACACAGTCAGGGTCTCCCTGCAATCTAGAAGGCGCGAACACATCGCCTCACCTGACCATGGGCATGCGCACAGAATCTCGTAACTGCCAATCCACGCTCGAACAATTAAGGAAAGATGGGAGATTTCCAACCCCGCTTGCCCCCGCGTCACGCAACTGGCCTTCGCTACCTCCCTCTGCATAATCCCTTGCACATTTGCCCCCGCCTCGGCTCCCCCGCCCTGGAATGAAACTAGATCACGCGCGCGGGCTTCCACATGCCAGCGCGGCTTACAAGGCAACAGGATCATGGGCAACCATGCCCCAAGTCTTGAAATATATGTCACACTGGAAAATGAAATTTGACACGTATGCAACTATAATCATTCGTACCAACTCAAGTTGCCCTGCAGTCCACTATTTGCTGCTGCTGCCGTTGCCACCCATAGCGCCTGTAATACACAGCTGCCGTGCGTCTGCCTGCCACGGGACTAATCCCATGCCCACACCTAGAACCAGACACCTCATCCTGACTACTCCCGTGTCTTCAACCCCTTAAATTCAGAATTTTGATTTGGTTTCTTGACCACTCCTCCGCGCCACATCGTTGGCCTTATGTGTTCTTAGACAACCACTTGACAAGTTCTTCAATCACTGCAATATTACAGCAGCCCGACGGCGCGCAGCTCCACTGCCAGCAGCTTTACCAGGGCCTCATTGGTTGACATACGAACCAGCAGGCGCCGGACACGCTCCTCATCAGATACACCACCGGCAACCGCCGCCCCAGTCCCCTCTGACTGCGCTTGCGGCGGCTTGTGCCCCGTCGGTGAGCTTGCCTGCCCGGGCACAACTGGCGGTACGGCAGCTGGCTGCGGCGGCACAGGCAATATCGTCTGTTGCGGCGGCTGGGAAGCAACCGGCTTGTGCGCATTGGCGAAAAGCTTCGCAAGCGCCCCGCCCATCTGTCCACCCGACGGCTGCGGCTGCTCCGCCGCGGAGACAGGCGGCGAGAGAAGCTGCAGGGCGCGAGGCTGAAGATGCGAAGCGGAGGATGCTTGGGGCGCGGCCACAGCCGGCAGCGGCGCCTGCACGGGGCCAGCCGGCAGCAGAAACGGCGCCTGCTGCTGTGGTGTTGCGGGCTGTGACGCGCGCTGCGGCTGTGCGAAAAAGCTTGGTGGCAGTGGGTGTGACAAACCTGAGCCGGAGCTTGGCATGGTCTGCACCTGCTCCGCAGCTTGCTGCTGCTTCAGCGTCGCGTTGCGGAGGAGGGTGGCCAGGTTGCTTGCGCCATCAGTAGACGCGGTGGGCGCCGCGGGCCCGTGTGACACGGCCTGCTGCTGATGGCGGTGATGTTGAGCATTAAGAGCAGCTAATCCAGAGTTTGGCTTGTCATAAAAGTGGTCATCATCGCTCTTGCCGCTCGGTTGGCGCGCAGCGGTTTGCGCACGAGTCGCCGCTGCAGATGCAGATGCCTGAGTCGTTTGCTTTATGCGCATAAGCACGTTTTCAACTCGGTGCAGGTCCTCCTGCTCGTAGAACCAAACGCCAATGATCTCCGCATTCCCGTGGGTATACATCAGGTAAGGAGGATTGAGCTCGAAGTCCAACCCTCCGTGAATATCTTCAACATAGTTCTCCGTCGAAAGCTTGTTTAGCACCATCATCCGAAAGCGCGGCGTCCCTCGCCGCTTCAGGAGAAACAAGGATCCTTCAACGTCTTTGCGTGTCCACTGCTGTGACTCCACGGCCATGGTGTATAGGGATACATGTCCGGAGCTGGCAAGGACCTCCTCGACATCCGGGTCGAACCCCCTGAGCACCGCTAAGACGTCTGGATTGGGCACAACTCCGGGACTTACCATCATGGAACAAAGAAAGAAGAACTATATTATATGAACTGTAACTCTTCAGCTTTTGACTTTCTTTCAAGAAGGATTGGGGACCGCACACTTTCCCTTGACCGCAAAGGAAATCCAGCGAACCTTGATGCTTGACCTATTATTGAATTCACACTTGATTACTGTAGCTTTTGACGTGTATATGTTACATATTTCGTATTTCAACGATTCCCAAGTGCGCCGCGCCGTGCTGCAACCGTGCGTTTACGATTTATGACAAGGGCGTCGACATCCTGAACTGCTGCGCAATCCGCCGGGCTAGGAAGACTGCGAGGAAATAAACAAAACCAATATGGAAAAAGTTTTAATGTTGCATGGTTCCTCTTCCTCGGAAAACCAACCCCGTGATGGGACAACTGCCAAACTGTCAAACCACTCCCAAAGACGACGGCATACATGCGCACACTGCAATAAGCTTTGAAATAATCCTGGGTATGCCACAAACACCTGTTGATGACAGGTCACTCTAGAGCAGACTGAGATGTGCAAGCAGAGCAGCTGTAACCCAAACCAAGGTAGTGTACAAAAAAACTACAAAAAAACATATCTTCCAGTAATCCTGAGACGCTTTGCATAATATAGCTGTCCAAGGCAATCGCAATCAAACAAACAAACAACGAACGCAGCAAATCCATAGCCATCAGGGTCAGCTTCTCATTCCTTCAAGTTCAGCACTCCATGAACCTCTTCGGCTGTAAAAGCCCGTGAAGCCTGTAACGCAAAAACGTCAATGAACACATCCTCAAGCACCAACATCTGAACAAACCTCTTGCTTGCAAAGTACAAACGATCCAAGATCGCACCAAGCAACGTGCACTAACCAAATACGTGTTTCCTGTCCCTGCGTCATTGCAGATAACTCAGAAGTCAGTATTCACCACCGCCAGTGCACCTTCTGCCGCTCTTCAATCCACGCGCTCCGTTGCTACCGCCAAGCAGCCTCAAGCCGTCCCTACCCCAATATTGTCCCCAACCCCCAGCCCATTTCCCCTTTTTTTAATCATACACATTCACCTCCTTACTCCAACACCCGCTCCCGCCCATTTATCCATCGCCCCATCACTCCTGTTGCTGCTGCTCCCAGCCGCCCACACGCCCGCCGTTGAGGAAGAAGTCCAAGACCTCCTTCGAGGGCCGCAGTGCCTCAGGGACCTCCTCCAGCGTCAGCGCCGGCCCCCGGGTCGGCGACGATGCCGGTGGAGGTACGACACGCTTACCGTTGCGATACACGGTGCGCCGGGACTGGTCCCACAGATTGAGGTGGTCGCGAATGAGGTGCCACTTGGCGCACCGCGCGCATTGAGCAAACACGGTGCCTCGCGTGAAGGACTCTGGGCTGATGGGCTTCACGTTGACGGTACGGCAGCCATTAGCCAGACACGTGAAACGGAGCTGCCAAGGACGAGTGGGCCCGAACGGGCGGGAAAACAGATGCGGGAGTGGATAGGGTTGTCAAAACACACACGCACGCAAATACATATACACAAGCCCACGGGCCAACCTCCGCACATCATTTTCGTCCCCCAGCTGACAATGCGCTTTCTACTGAAACCGGTAAGCCCCAGCAGACGAGTTCACTGCAGACCCAGCCGACATGCCAAGGCCAAGGACACCCGCAGCTCGTCAGTGAATGGCCCCCTAAGGCAGTCCCTCCGTCTGTCTAGAGCTTCCAGGACTCACCATCTTTGTCCGCCGCGGAGAGGAGCTCGAGGTCTGGACCACGTCAGCATCATCCTGCAGCATCGGCACAGAGGTGCGGAACAGATATGCGTGGTCAGGAGCAACCGACCAGGACGTCGTTATCGCAGGTCTCAAAAGCCAAGACGTAGACATAAAACCGCCAGAGAGTAATATACTAAAGGGATATAGCCGATACGAAGACGGCCGACCACACAGTGTAAATGTGCGCGTCAGGGCGCCTGCCGGCAGGCAGACCGGTCTCAGCGACAGCACAGGCTGCCCGCCTGTACCTGTGCCTCCCTTGTCCAGGCCCCACAGCGGCCCCCTGAAGCCCCTACGGCCCACACCCTCCGGCTGGGCTCCGCACTTTTAAAATCCGGTTCCCGGTCTTTGAGGTGCGCCTCGTAGGTGGGCCGTTGTCCGATATCCTATATCGGTGTTTATGAGAGCGGGTTTCGCTGCTACGAACCCCGGAAAGAGCCCCGGCTCACGTCCAGGTCCACGCTGGAGGTCGGCACATGCACGATGCCGGTGCAGCTGGACGTAGGCTGGGGCACGAGAGCGGCCTGCACCTCGGCGTCCTCGGCGACCTCCGGTTCCACATCTACCAGAGGTCCATCGCTGATGAGCGTGAGCGCCATAGGCTGCTGAGCCACCGCCTGGTGCATGAGGCTGAAGGACGAAGGTTCAGGGGTAGGGATCGGCCTGCGTGCCGGCAGCGACTTCGACCTCTTGAACTTTGCACGCATAGCGCAGGTTTTTTCCTGAGCGCTTTCACGTTCCTCCACGCGTGGGATCACGAACGCTGCGCCACGGACGTTGTAGTACTGGTCCTGCGCGGTCATGACGCTAGTGACAGTGACGCGCCATGTCAGCGTACTAGTGGGAGGTCACAACAACGAACCTGCATAGCGTCCAGCAGCCAGAGTGTTCCAGAGGGCAGGGCGACAGGGCGTGAAGGCTCCCGCGGTCCCCCGTGCATCGGAGTGGCCATGGCCTTGACCACAAAAGCCCGACGCGACAGGCAGCTAGTTGAAGTACATGAGCGCTTCGACAACATTGCGTCAAATGGCTGAAGAACGGTCACTGAAGACGTGAACTAGAAGCTCACGGAATATGACTAGGCCCTCTTCTTTCTTGCGATGCTTATAAGAATCTTGCGTACAGGGTATAAAAAGCTTTAATTTATTGCTACTTTTCGCTCATGCGAGTCGTATGATCGGCAAATAAACCCTAGCAATGACCGTTTATCACCGTTGATTCACGTCCAACAGCAAATCAACTTTCCCCCTTCCCGTGCCATCTCATCTGATTTTGCTTGATACATCGCTAATAGCCTCACACAAAAATGCACGGCCGCCCGCGTGAGTACAAGAACAAGCTCAAAGCAGACTCGAAGGCGCAAGAGGCGTATAAAAAGAAAGTACGAATCCCCTCAGCATATAGCTTTCGCGTCTTGGATGTCACATTTTGGCCTGACGTGCCTTGCAACGACGCGGGTCCCTTCCCGCAGGTAGATGCCATTCGGAACGGCACAGCGCTGGTGCTGGAGTACCGCAAGCAGAAAAAATACGACCCAGCAGTCCTCGATGCAGCAGCAAAGCTGCTGAAGGTGGTCCCCGAGGTCCGACGGAGCGGGGGACCCGTAACTTAGTTTCCCCCTGCCAACCCCCAGACCCCATACACCCTTTCCGTTGCAAACGGATCCTCTCCCTGGCCCCACCGGGGCCCCATCCCGCCGGGCTACTTTCCAGACTATCACATCACGGCCTTGAATACTTTTTAACAAACACTCCTTATGTCTATGAACCACTTATCACCGCCTGGCGCAAACATCTGTACGAAACGTGTTTCACTGGCAAGACGGCGGATGGGGCTCTCCCTGTAGTACGGCAAACATGGCCCCAAACCCACGCCTGCACCTGTTCCGAACGAGATACCGAAACGCCAAGTCATCCCACCACCACCACCACCACCAACAACAACAACAACGCCGCAACTGCTCCCTTCCCTCCCCCCTTCGCTGCGGAGGCTGTCGTGTCCGCTGGCGTCCTGCACACCAAGTTCTGCCCCGTACCGTTCTCCCCCTTTCTTTCCCCGCATTCCCGCCCTCCTCTTCTCACTTTTCTGTTAGCGCATCAGCTCCCCCTCCTTCCCTTCCCCCGTACCTGCGCCTCCTCCAGATCTACACGCTGTGGAACTACCGTCGTGAGGCCCTTGGTCCCGTGTTCGAGTCCGGCGGGGAGCAGGCGCAGCGGGCCAGTGAGGGGGAGCTGGCGCTGACGCAGGTGGGTAGACTAGATGGATGAATGGTGAGGAATTGGGCGCTAGGAAAGTGCCGAGTGGCAAGTGGGGAGGCACGACGCACGTTTCTTTCCCTTCCCGACTTTCCTTTCCCTTATCCGTCGCCACATGACAGGCGCTCCAGGGCCCTGCTCTCCCGCTCTCCCGCCCTCCCGCTCTTACTCCCTCTGCTCCATGCTGGCCTTCCTGTGCTTGTGTACGGGCGTCACATGTCCTTTATATGTACAACCCTCCATCGCCCGCCCACACCCGCACCTGCTAATTGCTAACTGCCCTATCCCCCCTCACCCCTTCATAACATCCTCACCCTCCCTCACCCCCCTCCTCATATCCCCTCCTCACCCCCCCTCACTCCCCGCCACCCCAGGCCTGTCTGCTAGAGAACCCCAAGTCGTACTCCACCTGGCACCACCGCAAGTGGGTGGTCGGCCGGGGGCTAGCCCCCCTGGAGCGGGAGCTGCACCTCGTATCCAGGTGGGCAGGGGGGGAAGAGATGGGGGCGGAGGAGGGGGAATGCATATCGACACATGCCTGTAGCTGGGTGTGTGAGTCCCAACTCTTCTGGCCCCCCTCAAAGCTCTGGATGAGGACAAACGCAACTTCCATGCCTGGAACTACCGCCAGTTCGTTTGCCAACGAATGGGCCGCAGCGCGCAGGTGGATATGGGTGTATGCGTGTGCACACGTTCGTGTTTCAGGGGGAAACCAGGATATGGAAGGCTTGCTCTGAAGCAGTTTCGGAGGGGCCCCCACAACGTGCTGCTGGTCGAGGGAAGCGCACCCATGTTCGGTGGTGGGGTCGGTGGGTGGGTGGGTGGGGGGCTGCCCCGGGGGACGGGAGGTCCCCCCTCCCCTCCCCCCTTCCCCCTCCCATCTCATCTACAAGGCCCCTGGGACCGCCCACCACAATCCATCATAACACACTGCACGTGCTGAGCCGTCCATATGCCGTACGCCGTACGTCACAGGACGAGTTGCAGTACGTTGAGGATAAGATCCTGCAGAACTTCAGCAACTACAGCGCCTGGCACTTCCGTACAATCCTCCTGCACCAGATGTACTGCAGCGGACCCGCAGGTGGGGGGGGGTCCGGAGAGAGAGAGGTAAGGGCCGACCGCCCGGAAAGACCTGTTGGATGTGGATCTGGATATGGATCAGAACATCTCGATCTGGATCTGCATCTGGATTTCAGATACATCACAAGCCGGGCACATGGCAGGACGTGACATGATGCCCAGCACCGGCTGTTAACAACCCTTCATCGCAGCCCATAACGCATTGACCACAAGACCTTCACCCTACAAATTTTGAGGTGCAGGCTCTGGCTCACGTTTAATGGTTCATGCATTTGCTCGCTCATCTGTTCGGTTGTCTCCTCGTTTGCATGTGGGCAGGATCCGGATCCGACTCCGGATCAGGTAACGGAGGGGATGCCGCGGCCGGGTCACTGGGGTCGACGGCCCCACTGGCGGCGGCGGCCACCGCCGGAGGCTCTGCGAACCGCGGGTCGGCTGGCCAGCGGACGCCAATTCCACACGACGTGCTAGACCAGGAGTACGACATGGTACACCAGGTACGGCGGCAGTCCCTAAGCGACGAGCTTGCCCTCCCACCGTTGCTTACCCGCTATGCGTTGCTTACTTGCTTTCACCCCCTCCCCCATACACACATACGCATAGACATAACGCCAACCGCGATCATCCCGCGCTTTGCTGCGACCCCACCTTAGCAGTTCCGCTTTCTTTACGATTTTTCTCCTTCACCTCTGGTATCAGCATCGCTCGTTTGTGGTTCGTCTGCCCCCATCTGGCCGGGCGTGTTGGTGTCCCCTCCCGCCCACCCGGCCCCCTCCTCTGCAGGCCTTCGCCACGGACTCCCGAGACGAGTCCCCCTGGATGTACTACCGCTGGCTGGTGGGCAACACACTGGCGCACCTTGGGGCTCCGGCTGCGGGGGAGGAGGGGGGTAAGGAGGAGGAGGAGGAGGAGGAGGAGGCACACGCGAAGGCAACGACGACGACGGGCGCCGTGGGGCAAGGGGAAGGCGAGGCGAAGGAGGTTGCCCGTGCCCGTGTGGCTGCTATCCTTGCTCGTGAGGCCTGTCGTCTGCTGGAGGACCACCTGGCTGCGGAACCGGATGCGAGGTGGCCGCTGCTCACGTTGGCCAGGTTGCGGGAGGCGCAGGTAGGTGGGTGCGTGGGAATGGGGCCGGTGCGGGTGTGTGTGTTGAGGTGAGGTGAGGTGATGTGGCTCTGCTGATAGGGAAGCCACGTGGCGCGCAGAGGTCAACCTCCGAGTTGCCACCTGACTGGGCCGCGCAGTCCCGGCAGCCCGCATCGCCCTCCATGACCTGTAAAGCTTGAGGTGTCTTGAGGTGTCTCGCTGTCCCGGCCCCGATCTTATATCGTACTGCCCCCACGCCTGCGTACGTGTACATACGGACGTACACATCACTCCTTAAGGCCCGGTTGGGACTGGGTGGCTCGCCCGAGGAGTGTGAGGAGATGCTGCAGGAGGCGCGCTCTTTGTACGGCAGGTTGATGATATTGGATCCAATGCGGCGCGGCTTTTATGAGGACGCGCTGGAGGGACGGGCGTTTGTGGTGGTGCAGGCGCTGGGGACGGTGTGATCTCGTGGAGGTGGTGGGGGAATGGGTCTGTTGTGAGGGCAGGGGGAGGGGTGCTGGGTTATGTGGTAAGGGGCCTGGGGCCTGGGTGACGGTCGCAGTGGCGCTGCGCGGGTTCATTTATGGTGGAAGTACCAGTTTCGTCAAAGCGAATGTGATGAAAGTAGAGCGCATGAAGTTCTCTGTGTGTGACCGTGTTTGCTTAAAAAGGGGGCGAGTGCAGCTGCATTTTCCACTTAGTGAGGGGAGTTGCGTGTGGCAATGCTGTGGTGAAGACCCGGCGTCGGGCGGGGTTTGGCCCCAAAGTTGGGACCAGGAGGGACAGGTCACAGCCGCATTGGTCTGAGTTTGGTTTAGCGTCAAACATGAACTGTGGAATAACGGGTGATGAGGAAGATCCGAGGAATGACGTGCGCTGTTTGGACGACCGGCTGCTGGGCAGAAGGCGGAAACAGGCGACTGCCTTTCAGGCTGACTTCCTATGCATATGGATCTACTATGGGGAGTCTTGATGTTTGCCTGGAGCTTGGACTTGCTTTGCGGGGACATTCTTCCGAAATTGTAACAAAGATGTCTTCCACACAGAGTTATTCTCTTGTCCTCCAACTATTCGAACAGCATGGAAGGCTGAAGGTGGTTTCATAACCATTCAAGGATTTGGCGGAATAGGTTTCAACTCTGGGCTACGGACAGCGCGCCTTTCAGCCATGGCAAAACACAATATTTACGCCTTCATACCAAGCTTGTGTACATACAGAAATACTTTGCGATAGTGTCCCAAGTATATGTTTAGAGGGCTGTTCCTGCATGACTCCTCACATCGCGCTGACTAGACCTGCGTACAACGGTTGGGAATATGAAAAAGGCAAGCATATGTACCCGAAACGCAACCAATTTCCGATGCCACGTAATGTAACTTTTTGTGCTTAGCACGCTTTACGCGGGCCGTTAAGTTTGTACGGATGTACACGCCAATGCTGACAAACCAACCGACCCGAAAAGGGTTGCTGTTGCATGGGGGCCATATAAAAAGGGATCAACATTTTGCATTCTTTGCCCACCTGCAACCTGTTTCGCAACTGTGTCCTTTTTGCCTTTCTGACTCAGAAAAGCAGATTTGTATCTCAGAACTCCGGAACCAGGTTGATTGATTTGAGTTTTAAGGCAAAACCCATTTTAACTGTCCCCTCGAGGTCGCTTGGTTGGGAAGGTGGAGGTTGTGGGTTGGTTGGGTTGCGGGGTGGGACACAACTCTCTCTGGACGTTCGCTCACAGCAGCTAAGGCGTCCGTCCTAGCCATCGCTGCACGCTCGGATAAATGGCGCTTGCTTTCCATGCTCTATCCGGAAAGTTAAATGTGGCTTATCATCAGTCCGCATCCTGGGCGCCTTGCCGCGTTGCCATCCGACGTCCGCAAGTACCTGTGCGAGTCTCTCAGCTGCCCTCTCAGGAGGCTGAGGAGCTTCAACAATTGAACAAACAGCACAATCAGCGTGCAGTGAGTCTGCTGTCTGGTAAGTCTCCGCCACCTGCGTGGGCGCTGCGCGTAACAGTCCTTACGACAGCTTGAGGGCTTTCGCTACAACAGTCCGTGTCTCTGTATGTGCCTGAAATTGCCGCTTGTTAGCGCTTAGGCACTATGTGAATAGCAATTCAATATGCTGTTCAAGGCTGTTCTGTTTGGAGGCCGTATTTGACAGGAATCGCTCCCGTTCTTTTGCAGTCGACGTCCAGAATGACGCGTCGGGTCCGGACTATTCTATTGTCCAACGTAACCTTGCGTTGGAGCTCGTGCGCGTGACAGAGGCCGCGGCGCTCGCTGCGGGCCGGTGGTTCGGCAAGGGCGACAAGAATGCCGCGGATCAGGTATGGGCATACACGTTTCTCCCCATTGGAATAGCATAGGTTTGTAGGCATATTTCTGAATTTCATGCATTTTAGTTGAGCACAGCGGCAATTCGCTCCATGAATTTCGAGGTACATGTCCGCTTTCAACACTTCTGCTCGCTGCACGTACCTTTACACATTTTGTGCACATTGTGCTCTGAATGCAACTATTTGACTCGTTTAAATCCAGCTTGTTAACTTGCTTTATTTCCTTCTGTGTTCATTACACTGTCGTACCAGGCCGCCGTGGACATGATGCGCAAGGTCCTCAACAGCGTCGCTATGGACGGCGTTGTCGTGATCGGGGAGGGCGAGAAGGATGAGGTGAGGGTGTCGAGGGGAAAGCGCATTCGGAAAAGCGTCCCGAAAGTTTCGGCTGGCGGCTTCACCTGTAGTCGCCCATTAAATGAAGTAACCCACCCAGTAAGTCCTTTACTCTCTTTTAGAACGTTTAGAGCCTTTCGCTGGTATGCGCCTTTTCGCATGCATGAAAGGCGTCTTCGTGACCGCGCTTAATGCTAAACCTCGCACATGTGCCAAATGTCCGCAGGCTCCCATGTTGTACTGCGGGGAGCGCATCGGCGACGGCAGGTGGGTGGCAGAACCGGCAGGTTGCGGTTTCGCCGCCTGAGGCATAGGGCCCAGTTGGTTTCCAGATTGCTGCCTGCTGGGTTCCTAGGGCTGTGGCCCCGTTGTGCAAGTCCCTGGAATGTTCACGTTTCCCATTATTAATGGAGGTTAGCGGTTGGAGCGGTTGGATGCCTGCTCCGTTTTCACGGCACGTTATCAGTGCAACGACATTACGACGGGATTGTTTTTTCTCTCCAAATGCTTGAGATGATTCAAATGCCTAAAGTATTTTCCAACCCCTGCCTCGATGTGATGTGATGTGATTTAAATTGATGTGTGTGATGGCCACAGTATGTTTCCCAAGGTGGATATCGCGGTGGATCCCCTGGACGGCACCAGCCTCACCTCACAAGGCCGCAACGGAGCCATCTCGGTGAGGGGGGGGCCAAGGGAGGAGGACGCGGGGGTGATGAGGGAGCGCGGTTCCGTGCTAAATGCGCGCGTGTACCGTAGCGGAACTAAAGATTTTACAAAATAAATAATTATTTGCATGCGGTAAAATGTTTTGGCAAAATTCTGAGTCTTTCTGTAAAATCTTTAGTTCCCGGGAGGGAATTCGGAGCGATGCCGTAAAATACATATGGCCCTTCACGCACAACAGGCTTTTGGCACTACCTCTTATACTATTTTATACAGAATATTGTAACATATCAATATCAACCTATTTCTGGCAGCAGCATGGGCAAGCGCAAGATCACCAAACACCGCTTCATTGACAAGCTGCCGGCCATACCATACCATATACGGCAATGCTCTCGCGTCCTTCATCAATCATAAGAATTCTGCGGCTGCTACAGAATGGTGGATGTTTGGAGGCCGTGTCACGGTGGCTTGGCTTCCAGATGGGGGTTTACAATTCGGAGATTCTTAGTTTGAGACGTGTCGTGATGATTCTCATAGCCCCTCATGCGTGAGAGGGAGGCGGGCAGTGGTGTTGCATGGTTGGGTAGCTCTGCGGGCCGGTAAAATCCCAGGAAATCATCCACAGTACCGTAAAATCTTGGCAAAATCCGCCAGCATGCGGTAAAATACTTCGTTCCGTAAAATATATTAAAATCCATAATTTTGCGGTAAAATCTTTATTTTTTGTAAAATCTTTAGTTCCGCTACGGTATGTATCATCTGGACGACGTGCACGTGTGAACGTGATGACTGTGTACAGGTGGACCCCGAGCTTCCTTCGCCCGTCCCTCCCCTTCCCATCTTCCCCTTTTCCCCTCACCCCCCTCCTTTCTCTCCCCTCCCACTGCCCACGCAGGTCATTGCGGTAGCTGAGCAGGGGTCGCTGTTCGACCCGGGTCCGTGCATGTACATGGAGAAGCTAGCGGTGGGCCCACAGGTGGGCCCCTCGTGGTGTATGTATGTATGTATGTATGTATGTATGTATGTATGTATGTATGTATGTATGTATGTATGTATGTATGTATGTGTGTATGTATGTGTGTATGTATGTGTGTGTATGTGTGTGTATGTGTGTATGTGTGTATGTGTGTATGTGTGTGTATGTATGTATGTGTGTGTATGTGTGTATGTGTATGTTTTCAGGGGGAATCAGGGGATGGTAGTTAAAGTGGTATGTATGTGTATATGTTTTTCCATGCCCAGGTGGACCCCGACTCTGTCTCTCTAGACTATTCTGTACGACATAACATCAAGTGGGTGGCCAAGGCTCTGGACAAGCCTGTTGGGGATGTGACGGTGCTCATGCTAGACCGACCCCGGCATGCAGACCTCATTCGGCAGGTGGGGCGGGGGGGGCCCGGCAGGGGGCGCTGTAGGGTGGGTGTGTAGGCGTGGGGTGGAGTGTGTACGGACAAGTGGCTTGACAACGTGGGGTTTCTGCTGCTGCTTTCCCTGGTGTTGCGGCATCCGCTTCCATTTTCCTTAAGAATTAAGCCTCCCTGACCCCCTGCCTGACCCCTCTTTTATCATCCCACCCAGTGAGCCTCTCCCTTGCTGTTGACTTGGTTCCCCGTGTGGTACCCGCCCGCCCCCCCGTGTTTGGGTTTGTCACTTTGGGGCAGTGCCGGGAGGCGGGTGCCCGCATTCGGCTGATCAGCGACGGTGACGTGGCGGGTGCCATCGAGGTGGCCAAGGCTGGCGCTCCCGTGGACATGATGATGGGGATTGGGGGGACCCCGGAGGGAGTCATTGCGGGTGAGTGGGTTGGGGGGGGCGAGGCGGGTGAGGTTCTATTGCCTTGGCTTGATGTTGTGTTTGTGGCCGTGGGGTTGGAAATCACTTATGGCCTTGGCTTGGTGTGTTTGTCCGTTTGGTTGTATGCATGTGTGTAAAGCTAATCACAGCAATTTACATTGAATTCCTGATGGCCTTGCTGCTGCTGACCTTCCGATGCTGTTGCAACCGCGTGATGATCTTTCTTCCCGTGATGGCTATTCGGCCCCGTTCGATACACCAACAATAACAACAACAACAGCCTGCGCGCTGAAGTGCATGGGCGGTCACATCCAAGGACGGCTGTGGCCCCGAGACGATAAAGAGCGAGCAGCTGCAATTGCACGTGGCTACGACTTGAACAAGATCCTCTTGATGGTGGGTTCAAACCTTACCTTTCAGGACTCTCCCAAGCCCTGAACATGTCTTGTCGACGCTATTCCCCAAACATGTGCATAATTCCTGCCTTCCCAATTACTTAATTTTCACACTTTTTATTTAACAGATGCGTTTGGTCTGGTTTCGTATTGCCTCGCTTCATAGCGGACAGCTGTCGTGCGTCTTGGTAGTGCAGTACACCACGCAGTGCATGGGAAGTTTTGCGTACCTGGGGGTGCCGTACACGTCGCACATCCTTCGCCCTGGGCAGGACTCGATGATGATAAATAACGGGATTTGGCCATTTTCCTCTTCTCTCTCTTCTCCCCTGGCCGCAACCCCCCACGAACAGGATGACCTGGTTCGCGGTGACGATGTGTTTTTTGCGGCCACGGGGGTTAGCGACGGGGACCTGCTCCGGGGAGTCCGATACCATAGCGGCGGCGCCTCGACCAATTCAATCGTCATGCGGTGCAAGAGTGGCACGGGTGAGCCGGGGGGATGATGGTGGGTGCTCATGCCAGTGGTAATCGGTTCGTTTGAACAGGTGTAAGTACGGATGTACCGATGTACGTGACTCCTAACATCCGGTTTTTGAGGTTGTGCCCAATGTGCCTTGACTTGGACTGCTTCATTCAAGATTCAGGCATTCCCTTCACATGCGCCCTCCGTCCCCTTTGTTTCGTCCCCTTTGTTTTGTTCCCACCATAGTTCGGTTCATCGAGACCTACCACAAGTGGGCAAAACCATCCGTTACCAACATTTCCTTGGACGACTCGGATGACTCGGCCGCTGTGAACCGTCGCATGAACGGTAACGGCAACGGAGCCACCCGAGGCCGGGGCGCGGGGCAGCGGCCGCCCTGGTAGCGGGAAAGGGTGTAGGGTATGGAGGACGAAAAGGACGAGGAGGAGGAGGAGGAGGAGGAGGAGGTTTTTAGGAATAGCGGTGCCCGTTAGCCGTGCGTGCTCTCTTTGCCTGGATTCGCCTGCATCATAAACTTATCTTTTGAGGAGGGGGTCCGCTGGGCGCCGTGGGTCGGGCGGTTGTTGATTATTATGAACAAAATATTATTGACATTGTTGATGATGATGATGGTGGTGCTGATGATGGTGCTGATGATAATGCAGAAGACGTTCATGTCTGTCAGTATGTGTGTCGGCGTGCAGCAGCAGCAGCAGCACCGGCCCGCGTGTAACAACAATGGATACTACGATGCCTTGCGGCCCCTTGATAGCGGCACCTAAGCACCTCCTGGCACATTCACATCCCCGAAGCCCCGGAGTGCACGAAGCGTTCCCAAGTTTCGCTTTTATTTACCAATTTGCTGATGGGAGGTTCTGGAAGGTGGGTCTGGATGGCTGGCAGTTACCGCCACCCCCTCCCTTCCCGCGAGGAGCTATGGGAGGCGGCAAGGAAGCCCTGACTTTTGAGGAGGGTGGCGGCGTGCGTCGTCGTTGTCGCTGTCGTTGCAGCATATGTCCTGGTAGCGGTGGTGTGGGTGCTTCTCCTGCTGTTGCTTCTTCTTCTTCTCTCGGCGATAGTAATGTTGCGTTACTGTGTGTTTTTGAATTGGCCATTTCCGCCGCCGCCGGTCGGTCGGTCAGTCGGTCGATGAGTCAGCCAAGAGGGGTTGCGAAGAAGTTTTGGGAGGTCCTGTTGCCGTACTTGCCGTACGCAGTTTGGCGAAGCGCGAGGACGTTGAAGGGCAAAAGGGGTTGGATGCCGGGGAGGGATCGTGCGAGGCGCAGATACAAGTACGAGGTACCTGTGCTGGTGATGGTGAGGGTGGCAGCTGAGCTTGGGCGTGGCGGTTGATGGTTGGCCGTTGGCAGTTTCAAGGCTGGCTTTAACCGAACACCGTTACTTGTCCTGCTGCGCTGTTCCTGCTGCTGCTACTGCTGTTGGCATTATCTCGTTTGTTGCTGAGTTATTATGATCGTGCGTTGCCTGTCTGGCTGCCGGGGTTTTTGTCCGCGGGCTTGCTTGTCGGCGGGTGCGCGGCGAGGTGGCGAGTGCGTGTTGTCGATCGGCCTAGTTTTCGCGACGAGTAGGGGCTCGATATATCCCATGTGTCTTTGGGGTATGTTACGGCATCGTGAATCACGGGCGGCCAGCTGTGGGAGCCTCAAGTACGCCATTAACCTTTTTCTCGTCGTCATCATCATTGCCATCATCGTCAGCACCACCACTACCACCACCTTATGAATAGCCACTACAGGGTTGCTAGCGAGGTACCCCTACTGCCGTGGCTGCTTCCGTATGCAGCTGCCAATGTGGTTGGTGACAGTTGGCGGATGGTTGTTAGGGCTGTTGATGCAGCGGTTGGCAGTTGGCGGGTCCTTGCGGAGTAATGCAGGTACCTGACTTCTTTTCGTTGAGTAGTGACTTATGTTGTTGTTGTATGGATGCGTGATTTTATACCTGCACAACCCGCACATAACATTGTTGGGCCGTATCCGATTTTGGTGCTTTTCATATTAACTCCTCTCCCCCCCCGGCTGCGCGGGGACTTTCCTAAGCAGCTGGCGGTTAACAACTGATACAGCAGATGTTACCGTACGGTCGTATAGTCATATGATCGTTGGCCTGGCCTGCTGCTTTCCAAATCCTAAGGCAAGTACCAATTTTCTTACTTTGGAGGGTTTGCTGTAATCCGCACGCACCCCTCCAGATTTACTAACATTGCCAAGGGTAAATCATTGTCGGCAAGACTGCCGAGTTTTAGGGCTATAAGAGCATGGCCGCATGTCCTTGTGCTTGGCATCTTTACCAGTCTTCCCAGTACTGCTGAACGCGGCCTTTTGCAGTTTTTGCCCGGTCATGATTATTGTTGATCTCTGGTTCTATCCGTCCCGTTGTACTCGCCATGCATGATGATGATGTGCTGTACGACGTTCGTATCGATACTAGCCCAAAGTTATGTAGACCATTCCCGCGTAAGACGATAAGTCGGTGTTGGAGTGCAGGATTTGAGAAGCATGGTGTCTTGTCGAGGGAAGGGATGTGTGTACATGGCGGTACGACAGTTTGCAACGGCGTTTGGTGCGCTGGAGTGGTGGCGGTGGCCGTGACGACGTTTTGCAAGTTTTGTTTTTGCAGTACCGGTATAATCGACGGCGGCAGCAACTGCTGGTATATACTGTTGCAGCTGATCCCGGAGGACTGTAGCCACCCGTTTGTGGAGGTATTGCTGCATGCTGGATTTCCTTGGCGTACGGTGGCAGCTGTGGCGGATTTTACCGATTTCACGTGCTGCTGTGTATGAGAGTCATGAGGGTGATGTCGGAGGCTTCTGATCCCGCAACCCTAACAGGCCCATAGAAAGAAAGGAGGGAGCACTTGAAATTACTGGTGGGCAGGCTAGGGCAAAGAAGCACAAAGAAGTCTGACGTATGTGTGTGTGTGTGTTTGTGTTGTTGTATAGCTAGGGTTAGGAGGGCGGAGTGCTGATGATGACGCGGTCATCGTGAAGACGGGTTGGGGCGTCAACCATGTAACCTTTTTTGAGTTCACTTGCTTCCAATAGCCTTCAAAAGACCTGAGCTGCACTTGTTGTTCATTTAAAACCATCCCAAGTCGGCGACTTCCAAACGGAGCAGGGTTATAGCGTATACTTGTGTGTGTGTGTGTTACACCATCTTCTGAAGTTACCTTACCCTCCAATGGTGTACCCTGGGGGTCCATACGAGTCGTGAGAAGGGGCCCAAGGGCCGTCAGCCGTTACGAAATCTGGCCGCCACTGCATAGGGGCATATCTCATCATGCACATCCGTACATGTACATCAGAACTGCATCGACCTGAATCTCGCTGGAGGCATTTCGGAGCATGGCAACGTGCCGTATGCCATTTCAAATACAGGGAATCCAATATAACCACAATTTATTCCGCATGTTCTAAGGGAAGGGTGTAGGGGGAACCTACAGCGCAATGGTAGCAGGCAGAGCTGGAGGGGTGGCACTACCCATCCACCGACCCCCGGGTATACCACCGGGACGCCCCTACCTCGCGTCTCTACACAGCTCTTCCCCACGTAAACATCATTGCGTCACTAATCTTTCACCTGGCTGCCCCGCTCGGGTTCCTGACGTACTTGGAAATGTGTACACACACGCACGCACAACACGAGGAATGTCAGCCTGCCTTGCAACCCCGGCGACTGCCATTCTTCTTCGCATTCATCCGCCGATTCGCTCCAATTCCGGAAAGCACGACTGGCTCACGTAGTGCCCCTTCCGGCAGTGGCAGTGACAGTGGCCCCCCTTCCAAGGGGTCGTGCCTCAGCTGCCAAACGATTTATTATTTACCAAAATATACAAATCGAAATACAGGTGGTACCGTACGCAGATATATCACTTAACAGAAACCACCCCCTCCCCCCGCTCTCTACGCTGCCGTCTTCCTTCCGCCATTCTTTCCCGTCAACCGGATCACGGCGCCGCACGTGCTCTCCAGCCGTAGTACGGCACCTCGCCCCAGCAGGTCCCGTACAAGGTAGATTGGCGGGAGGCAGCTGCTTCGGAATTTGAGTTTGCAAATCTACAAACAGAAGAACGAGGGATAAGGATAATTTTAAAAAACCCAAACACAACACAAGTCAACTCGAACTGAAGAGCGTCGCAAACCAGGATGTGGGAAGGAGGAGTGCACCGGACATCTGGAAAGATGGATTCGGGTTCCAGGGGCCCCCACCTGGCGGCGAAAGAAAAAGGGGGGTGCGAATTGCGCCAGGGCCACCTGCCCGTGGAGACTCCGGAGGACCCAGGGGCGAGGCGGCCATCAGCGCCAGTACATACATGCCGACACACACACACACACACACACGGACGGAAAGGGCGGCGGCGGCGGCTACAGCGCGCAGGTGGTTCTACAGGTCCTGCACTCCATTCCCGACCCACCTGCTCCTCAGGCGCCTCCCCGTGCTGCCTCTTGGCGAGCCACGCGAGCAGCTCCCTGCGGGCTCCCAGCACCGCCTTCACGAGCCGCCCAGCTCCAGGTACCGCCAGCATGAAGGCGTCCGCGTCGCCGTCGGTGTGCCTTGCTAGACAGCCCAAGTGCAGGAGCAGGCTAATCTGAAGGGCGGTGGGAGGGGAGGAGGCCGGGAAAGGCCGGCGAGTGACCGACTCAGTGACCGGGTTCCCTCCGGAACCCGGGTCGTTGAAGGAAAGGGGAAGCGGAAGCACGCGAATGGAGATACGCTTCTCACTCAATCTCGGATCTTCTTTCCCTGGAGCAGCAGAGAAATCACCCAGAGCTGGGCTCCACCCCTACCCCCTCTCCACATACATACATACAGAGATACATACACCTGGACGTACCTGCTCATCTAGGGCTGCTTCGGCTTCAAGAGTTTGCGTTAATGGGACTCGGGACACCGATATCGCGGCAACGGAAGCGGTATTCGTTGTAACACTAGCAGCAGCACTAGCAGCTCTAGAAGTAGCAGCTGCTACTGCTTCCTGGGAAAGCTCCATGCCATGCTGCTGCCCCACGGGACGAGCTGACTGCTGCGGCCGCTCCTGGTGCTGCCGTTGGTGCCGAGGCTGCGGCGGCGCGGTCCGCATCAGGTGCATCATATGATCACGAGACAGTTCGAATTCCGTACAACGGTCAACGACTCGGTGAATAAACACCTCCGTGGCAGCATGCCAGCGGCAACTGCCTGCACGGCTAGACGCACGAGTCAGGGCCGGTGCGCCATAAGCCCCTGTTGACGGCCCAGACGAGTCCTGTTGCTGCTTGGCGGCAGCAGCAGCCGCAGCATCTGCGGCAGCGTCTGCGGCCTGTCGTACGATCGCGCGGTACTCTGCGGTCGTCAGCACACCGAATTCGTCCGTACCTGTGGCGTGATTGCAGCCGTGTATGAGGTTACCATTTAAGAGTTGAAACCAAGTGTACGACAGGTAGTAGAGACCCATCGCCACGTACCCGTCGGTAGTTTGAAGACCCGCACGCGGTTGGAACGCCGTTGCTCGTCCAACTGTCGTTCAACCGTCGACCGGTCAGTTAGCAGGCAGGACAACTGGCTTCGGAGCACTATGGGAGGCAGATCAGCGCTTGCCGAATGCGACCGCAGATCAGACCTTCAGTGGTGCGCAAGAAAGGCACATCAGAGAATACTCAGTCAGCAACCGCAGTAGCAGTTGCAGTAGCAGTTGCAGTTGCAGTAGCAGTAGCAGTTGCAGTAGCAGCAGCGGCCCTAGCGACCCACTTGATTGCGACCAATGCGAGCTCCACATCGCTTGGCACGTCCACATCAACTTCGTCGTCATCATCACCACTGTTGTAGTCGACGTACCGCTGGGCCACCGCAGCAACAGCCGCGCCGCCTCCGCTACGGCCGAGCCCGACGGCTAGATTGGACTGCATAGCCGCCTCGGCAGCGCCGCCGCCGCCAGCTAGCGGCAACCTCAGGCGGCTAAGCCGCTGGATCGGGTCGGAATCTCGGAGGAAACCGCCGTCCATGGGCCCTGGCGGTGGCGCCCTGGCCGCGGCGGCGCCACCGTCGGGGCATCCGCGCCGCCGGTCACTGCCCGTACCGCCGGTGCCCGCCAAGGAATGAGCAGCAGCTGTGCCGTAGGCTTGACCGTAGGAAGCGGCCATAGCGGGCGGGCAGGTGGCGGCGGCGGCGGCGGCGGTGGTAGCGCTGTCTCGCGGGCTGGTAGTAGCGGCCCAGCGCCGGGCGCTTCCAGGAACTGCGAGAGGGTGACGGTACGGACGAAGCGCGGGAGGAGATGCCGCCATGTCGCCACCATCTCTGCCTCTGACGCTTCGAGAACCAATCCAGGCTTTCATTGCCTTGGGGCTTTGCATTTGCACATTAACATGAGTCGCCGCATAGGTGACCCTTGGTTGCCGAGGTGTGCAATTTTGCGGGTGCATTAGCGACCTGCTTGGCTAATCGGCCTCCCGTAAAGGGCTACCTAGGGCAGGAGAATAAGAGGGATTCAGAGATGCAGGTTCGCACCTGTCTTGGCCAGTCCAGGGGAGCTGTTGCCCCTCCCCAAGGGGCTTTCCACGGCTGTAATGGAGGCAGCAGCGGTCGCGGCCAACGCCCTGACTGCCTGCGGTCCGCTTCCAATGCCGTCGGCAGCAGCTAGCCCTGCATCTGCAGCAGCTCCAAGCAGGAGACTCCTGAGCTTTGCCTGAGCGGAGGTTACACGGGGCACAAAGGGACATTGTGGTTAGGGACAGGTTTGCCAACTGTTCGTGGAAGCATGATTACTGACCAAAGGAGGGGCGACGGAGGGTCCGCGTTGAGTGTTGCAGCTCGTCACATGTCCGCGAGAATGCACGGCCGGATGCGGTGTTTCCAAAAAGGGTAATGAATCATCACGACGCGGGATGCCTATGATAACGCCCAATCGCTGGTTTGGGTCCAGAGCTGTCCAGTTGCTTTCATCAAACGACCTCCGCGCACCTGTCGGTCGTCAATGCCCTTGTCGACAGGTCTCAGGTCTGAGTAAGCCTCCTGGAGGCGCCTCCGTTTGGCCCGCTCTAACTCTCCAAGACCTGCCATAATTACGGATCAGCTTCCTGATCTCCTTTTAACACATCGCGTGAGTCGGTGGCAGGAGGTGACTCCACAGTTGTCACCGTGTGTGCATCTTAAACAATAATAATCATCTCGTGCATTCAATTATCGTAGCTTATTCTTGGGTAAAACGGTCACGGTGATATGTTGCACGCTGCATGTTGTATTATATCTGTGGACGCTACTCTTTACACTTGCCGATAGTGGCGATCGCTGAGGTGTGATAGCAAGGGAAGGGCAATATTGGGTTTCCCATTGTGCCTGGTCTCGGAACGTCTAGCCCGACAACGGAAAACGGCTGAACCTGTCAGTTGACATTCCTCGTAATGTCACAGGTTATAAACAGGACCGTCATTAAGGACCGCCACTGCAACTCTGATTTAGGCGCCATGTGCACCAACATGCAAAGAGCGCAGAAGTCCCAACCAAACCTCCTATCCTGTCAAGTCCTCCTCCACCTGCGCCCGTTACATTTCACACTGCAAGCGGGAAAAACGCCTCCTCCTTCCTCGTTTTCCTTCCCCTTTCCCGGTCCTCGTCCTTCCTGGCGCTGTCTCCAACTCCAACCCCAGCGTGTCATGACCGCAAAACGCCCCATCGCATGCAGCTCGCTTCCAACCAACCTGCATCAGCGCCCGGGGAAAGTCCATCCATCCGGAAACAGTCGAACTATGGAACTGGAAAACTTAAGACTCTTGTAACACAAGACACCGCGTGACTCGCACCCTGCTGCACACCCCTGCATACGCTCGGACCCCAGACGCCTGCCGCTCAGCCTCCGTCAGATTTTTGCTAACACATTTTTTAAGCACCCCTAGCATACTAAACTATTAGTATCCATCAGCCAATATTGACGATGAGCGACATGCTTCACCACCTGCCCACGCGGCCGCGCTGCGGCCGGCGGATCCAAATCCCCCAACTGTACTCCTGCTGCAGTACGACCCTAACCTGAAGGCTACAGCAAACGTATTTCACTTTTCAGACCCTGTAAACGGAGCTCTCGTAGCCACTTGATCCACCTCGAGAAGAGTCGAACACTAAGCGGAAAAATAAGCACTGACTGCCCGGCAATGGGCCGGACGGCTTGTAAGAATTTGGCAGCAGATGCGAAAGAGCGAGCGCTTTGCGCCCCCTCCAAGAAAGAACGTTGCCAGGTGGATATCGGGCTGTTCGCGTTTCTATCTACGTGTCGTGCGGTGCGGCGGAATGCATCCTCCGCTCCGCCCGTTCTACCCTCTGGCCAATCCCTGGCAACCTGCAATCCACGTAGTTGCCTGTCCTGGCCCCCTAACGGACGCCTAGCAGCGCCGCCTCACGGCTTCTCAAGCCGCAAAACCTGATCTCTTCTCCTCACCTTACCTCACCGACCTCGGTCCATCATGCAGCAGGAAAATGTCCCCGCCGTGCAAGTTCCCGCTTCCCGACCCCTAAAGCTCCCCAGCCCAGTATCACTAGCATCGGTCCCACGTTGCCGCCTCTACCCTTACAAGGGCTTCGAGCACTCCTACTCCAGTGGCTACCCCCGGGCCTTCGCCTGCAAATCAACCAGCCTCACGCCGGCCCATCCCCCTGGTCAGTCGTTGATTCCCATTCTCCCAAGGACAGACGGGCACAGTGTTCGAGGCGGCCACGTGAGCTGTAGCGTCAGTAAGGTCACGGCCTCACGATACTCACTGCCTCGCTCGCAGCCCCGTCACCAGCCAACACACGAAGCGCTGGCGGAATTCCAGCCCGTGACCGCTCGCAGCGTCGGTGGACTGGCTGCCGCTGGTACTGTGGACGGTGGCGTCGTTGCTGCAGCTGCCAGTGCGGTCCGCGGCGCCCGCAGCAATGGTGCGGTCCACGGCGCCGTTGCCGTTGACGGCAGTTGACCCCGGGGTGGCCTTGTCGGCCTCCACCAGGCTCTGTAGCCGCTTCACCATGGACTCGAATGCTGCCGCCTCGGCCATCTTGAACATGCCAGACTGCCGACGGTCGGGAAATCCAAGGTTACGACGGGATAAGATGTGAGAGAACATGGCAGGGTATAGCGGGCCAGGCAAAGCGCGGCGCCTGGGCCGGGGTGAAGCACACGGACCGTCTTCACTCACCCAGATCCCTATCTGGAAAAGCTATACATGGGTGCTTGTCATCCCCCAGTCGCTCACCTGCTTGCCGGCCCCGGCTAACAAGATGCATGCGCACTGCAGGCATAGCACGGATCCGCCCGCCGCACCGTCCACCAGCGCCGCCGCGCAATGCAGCACGATCCGCGGTGTGAGGATGCCGTGGCGCAGCAGCCCCAACAACAGGTGGCAGATGCCGCGAGCGCGCGGCAGCGCCGCCGCGGCGTCGGGTGCCACTGCCGGCATGTCGCCCCAGGCACGGCGCGGCGGGGCCACGGCGGCAACATCCGGAGCACCCGCTGGAACCGGATCCGATGACTGCGTTGTTGCCGTGCTCATCGCTGCCTGGCTGGACGACCGCGACAGCGCGTTCGGCGCGGGTGATGGTGGCACCGGCAGCAACGCCGCAAGGCAGCGCTCAAAATGGGTCTGCGCGGCGGAGAGAAGCGCACGACGGAATGCGCGCCCAGTATCGCCAGCCACAGCGGTAGAAGCTGAAGATGCGGTGATGCTGCCGGCAGCCTCTGTTGCTGCGCCTCCGACTTGGGAGGCAGTCGTCCGCGGGCCGGCGCCGCTCGTTCCGCCGCTTGAGCCAGTGTCACCCGCAGGCGGCGCAATCTCCGGACTGCGGGTCGACGGCGTGACCGCGCACATCTGTTGAAGAGCGTCAACGCAGAGCCGCACGTAAATGTCGCACGCCGCGAATTGCGCGGCCCACTGCTGCTGCATCAGCTCCGTCCACTCCGCATCCGTCAACGGCGGCGGCTTTGTTGCTGCGACCGCAGCCTCTCCCACCTCGCTGTCAGAAACCGCGCCGCCTCCTGTCGGCGCTTCCTGCTGCGGTGGTGTCCGTAGGCCCCAGCAGGGGCACCTGGGGTCTCCACCCGAGGCCGCCACCGCGCTCTCCACGAGCTCGTCTGCCATGGCCTAGGGGCGTGGAGAACAGATGTCGTCAGGATTCGCGCCGTGAAGGTTTTAGGATCACGGCGCTTTAGATGCTTGAGACGTAAAAGGTCCCCTTTTGCAGCTGAAAAATATGCAGCCTGAGCGGTCCTCACCCAAGTCCCATGGCCACGAACATAAGCTCAACGGCCGCACCCAGACAACCCAAAGCACAGCGATGGCCGGGTCTCGCCCACTACTCCCATGGGGATCACGTGCTGGCATGAACCTCGCAAGGTTATCGCAAATTGCCAGTAAATGACAATCTCTACGTCCAGCTTCGCGCAACGAGTCCTTTCCGGTGAGACACACCTCAAGCGTCGCCGGCGAATTCGCCACCGGTTGCAGCAGCAGCTGGCCCCGCACGTCGCTGTACGTGTCCGGAGTCAGCTCCCACAGCCCTTCCAGGTTCTGGCTTTGACTGGCGGCCCTAGAATGCAGGCTGTTACTGCTACTGCCACCCAGAAGCTGCTGCTGCCGCAGCAACACCTCCATTGCCGGGCTCCCTCCGGACACCTCGACCAGGCCACTGTCGCACGGGGACGACAGGGGAGGTGGTGGGCTACTGTTCTGCGATGAGGAGGACGAGGAGGTTGAGGCTGTGGTCGCGGTGGCGGTGGCGGCAGCTGCAGCCGCCGACCCTGGTGCAGCCATGACCAGCCGGCCCGAGGATCTGTGCACCACCACAACACCAGAGGTGCTACCTTTTCCCCATTTCGATGCTGTGGACGCCGCCGTCGCTGTTGCCGCCTCTGCTGCTGCTGTTAACGGCACCCTAGACGGCGGGCAACCGTTCTTACTGCTGCCCGGCATGCCGTTGGTCCGTGTCAATCCCGATCCCGAGGTGGCCGTGCCCATGGCCATGCTATTGCTGACAGCCCAGCCTCCACTCCGCAGCTCGAACAGCTGTGACAGCAGCGCTTGGACATCCGGTGAAAGATCCGATGGGACTAGGGACTTGTGCACGGCAAGCTGGTCATACAAGCCGTCCAATACCGGGCGGTACTGCTCTGCCAAGCCTTCACCGAGCTGGGTTGGGAATTGGGCCGAAAGGGTTGCGAGAGAGCGGTTGCCGCAAGTTGTGCTGCACTGTTCTAGTCCAGTTACGCCAATGACCTTTCTGTGCAATGTAGAAGATTGTCATGCATGATGAAATTTGCCCCACCATACATGGCTTGACACACCGTCAGTGCTAGACAGAGCACCATCCCAAAGCACCACCGCACGGTCCCACCGACCGCCCGGGAGGCAGGTAGAGCGCGGTCCCTATGTTCCAGACGTTCACCTGACACCCACCTGGCGCCCGGCTATGAGGAGCGCCCTGACGAGGCACTCCACACGGTGGGGAATATTGGGACCGCTCAGAGGTGCGCTGCCGCTGTCCGAGCTGCTACCGCCGCTGCTGCCAAGCTTTCCGGAAGCCACCGCAGCCAAGCAGGATAGCATGATCCTAGGGTTCCAGGGCATTGATTTCAATATGACAGGTTGAGCGTTCTAGTGCCGAATGGGTTAGTACGAAAGGCCAGCCAGGGTGGTAGTGTCCCCCACCCTTTTGGCTCTGACCGCTCTTTAAGTGCACGTAGTGGGCTAGAAGTTGATATGCCATGGCGAACGGAATCCGTACATACCTGTCTGTGAGCAAGTGATGGAGATAAAGGTATGCGAGGAACTGCAGGCTGCCAGTGAGGCTGGGGACTGGCTGGCCTTCGTTGCTTTGCGCTGGATGTTCGGCGACTGTTGCACTGCATGCTGCCTCGAATTCACGTTGGCATACGTTCAGAAGGGTTTGCCGGAAGTCTATTCGCTTCGCCTTGGCAGTCGCAGTGACGGCGCCGGGGGGCTTAAAGGTCGGCAGGATGGGTGTTAAGCAGAAGCACAGCGCTGCGCATGGGGCCGCATAGCGCTCCGGATCCATAATGGCCCTCTCAAAAATCCAGCGGACGAGAAGCTGGAGCGTGGAAAGACTCCCTGTAGGAGTAAATCCTGAAGCAGTAGCAGCACAGCGGATGGCTGACGGCCAAAACTCCTCGACCGGGGGCCACGTAGCCAATGAAAGGCAGGTAGCATACACGTTTCAATGTACAAACATACTTACCAACATCACGGATTTCGAATGCAAGTCGCTTGGCTTGGAAATGGCCAGCGGCTCGACGGAGCCGCTCCAAGCATTGGGCTACTGCTTCCTGCTGGCTTGCTTCCGTTACAGATGATGTCGAAGGCATGGCGCTCGGCGCCATGGCCTAAAAACACCACCCTCCTGGGAAATTGACGCACTGCAGCTGCGCAGGGCTGCTCACCGGGCAGCCCCGCGTATCAAGAGCCAGTTCCCTTGGTGCACACGTCGCAGCCTGTGTGGTTGCGTGCCTTGATCAGCCTGTCGCTGGTGTATTGGAAGGAAGAAACTCCGCGCTACTTAGGGGCCTGCACACAGCGAGAAGACACGGCGCAAGCTATTTGGAAAGTATACCGTGTTGAAGAGCCGTAATTTTTTGGCAAGTTTTTCACCTATCGTATACCCTCGAAATCCTTGTTGATGGTGGTCAAATTGACACAAGGTCCTTTCTAGAACAAGGTTTCCTTCGGGACAGATGGATCAGACTTCACAAATACCTTTTGCAGCTAGCCTTCTTTCTGCAGCTAGCCTTCTACCGACTTCGGGAGCTCCCGTACGGCGTTGGTTCCAGCTGCGCTGTTAGGGATGGACAAGGGGAAAGTTATTTCGCAGCATCAAAGTTCTACACAATAACAGTATGCTGTTGCCTTACTACGCAGGCTGTTCATGTTGACATCGGATACCTGTAGACACACGGCGAAGCATAACTGAGGGAGTGGCTTGGTTGCCCGCGTACATCAAGCTAATCACAATAACTAAACTAGAATTTCACACTATCTGCGCCCTTGCTGGGCGACTGCACATCCGTCGTGGAAATTCCACCCAACTGCCTCTGCAGCTCATTTTTCGGCTGCACCTTCTTCCACGCTGCTGTCCTAATCATCCGTCCAGACCCAGATCCTCTCCACTCTTGTGAGCGCACGACTCCGCGCTCTGGCAGTCATTCCGGACCGCAGGCAACTGGCCGGTACGGCCGCACCGTATCTGGTGGCCGCAAACCATCAATAGAGGCCGGAACCACACCCATCCCTCTCCCCAGCCCTGTGACGGCGGACCGCTGACAGCCGCATGGCGGACGCGGCGGAGCGGGAGGTCCGGACATGGGTGCAGGACCAGCTCCACCGCTTACTGGGCTTCGCCGACGCCAACGTAGCCGCTTTCCTTATCTCCATCGCCCGCAAACACACCAGCGCCGACTCCCTCTTCACCGACCTCAAGCGCTCATGCAACCTCCCTAACACTTCCGATGTCCAGTCCTTTGCTGCGGAGCTGCTCCGCCGGGCGCCACGCCGCGGTGGCGGCAGTGCCGCTGCCATCGCTGCCCATCAGCAGCAGCAGCGCCAGGCTCGGGAACTTGCCCGTAAAAGCGCAACTTACGGTCTTTTAGAAGGGGACGACGAGGGGGAAGAGCAGGCGAACGAGGTGAAGGGCGCTCCCGCAGTGAAGGGTCCTGCGGGGCGGGGTGGGGGGGCCGCTGGCCCGGGCCCGGGCTCTGCTGGCGGCAGTGGCGGCGGCGGCAGTGGTGCCGGTAGACAGGCACCGAGCAGTCAGCAGCAGCCGGAGCCGCAGCGGAGAGAGGATACCGAGTCCGGGAGGAAGAGCGGTGCAGGGCCCGTGGATGGAGGTGGAGGTGCAGGTGGAGGTGGGAAGCACTTGAGGTCCCGCCGTGTGCAGTTCGCAGACGGGCGAGGTGGTGGAGGTGACGAGGAGGAGGAAGACGACACGCAGGTGCGTACGGCAAAGCGGGCGAAACGCAAGTGGGAGCTGGAGGAGGAGGAGGACGAGCGTCAGGAGGACGAGGAGCAGCGCCAGGAGCGGCTAAAGTGCGTCAGGGGTTTCGGCACGGCAATGGGGAGAAGGAGGGGGCATAGTGGGCGGTAATAATGGCTGTGTTGAATGATGGGGTGGGGACGGGGACAGGAGGTTATGGAGGGAGCCGGAAGGCGCTGGAAAGATGCCAGCGGTCGCGGTGGGGTGTCAGGGCTCAGAGCTGGGTAGCGGAATGTGGGGCCCCCAATCCAAAATCCCCAGAGCAATCCTCCCTCTCTAGCCATACGCGGGGACGGCGTTGTCAATTGTATGCAAGAAGAAGGGAAAGCAACGGAGTACCTGCTGGCGGCTGGAGAAGTGACAACGGGTGTTAGGGCGGTGTTGGGAAGGACATATTCGGGCGGGAAGGGTAGAAAGGCGCCAGCACCGGGCCTATGAGGGGGCAGAGGGGGCAAAGGAAAAGGATTAGGACCACTCTGCGTGCCGTCCTTGACGCTGGGGTCCTGGTCTATAGTTACCAAAGTAGCGCTAATCGTGCGCCCAACCCTACTGGCGCGCTGTGTCCGTGTCAGGGAGGCGGCGCGGCTCCGAGACCAGGCTGAGAAGGCGGAGTTCGAGGAGCGCCTGCGCGCCAAGGATGATGCCAAGACGAAGAAGCTGGCGGAGCGGGAGCCCAAGATGACTAGGGAGGAGGCGAGGAGGGATGACATGAGGAAGAGGTGGGTGGGTGGGGTTTATGTGGGTGGGTGGGGGGTGGGGATAAACCGGTGGGGCGCCCTGTGACCCGGCTACCCTGCCCCACTGCCTTCCAGATGGACGCCCCGCACCCCGCAACCCGCACCGCTTCGTTCTAACACCCGTCTGCGCTTTCGTCATCCTACGTGCTTCATTCTGTTAGTGCTCATGCCCCCCTCCCTCGCCCTCGGTTTCATTCCTCGGTCCCGTCGCGTGATGCTTCCGTCCTTAGCACAGCTGCCCTATGGCCACCATTGCCGCCGCCTGCAGCCAGCTAGCCAGCTAGCAAATGTCGGGCTATGCACGGCTTGAGTGTCTGCTTTCTGGCTCAACCTCCGGTCCCCTGCCCCTCCTCACCTGCCCCTCCTCACCTATCCCGCTGCACGTTTCAGGCCTCGTGGCGGTCAGAAATCCGGTCCGGTCTCATGTCCCTCGTCCGGCCCGGCTGCCTCTCTCCCGCCCCACCCGTACCCATCTCTTCACCCAACGGCCCCCCCCCAACACACCCCTTAGTCATTTCATCATGATTCACGGCAATCGAGAGCTCCTTTGCGGTTGTTCTTTCCTTTATTACCTCTCGCTCCTTATCGGAGCCCGGTAGCTGTGCATATCTATCTCCCACCACCACCCCGGCCCGTAATGTGGTGCTTGTGGTCGGTTTCCAGATACGAGGCGGCTCAGGAGGACGACCGCGACGCGCTGATCCCCACCCTGCGTGAGGTTTCCCGTCAGGAGTACCTGAGGAAACGCGAGGACAAGAAGATACAGGTGGGGTAGGCGGTGGAGGTGGGAGTGCATCGTATGGTGGCAGGGGAAGCAAAGGACCACCTGCCGACACGTCCAAAAGGGGCTTGGGTAGGTGGGGTGGGGCGGGAGACGTCCACCGGCGGGGGAAAGGGTTGTCTGGGGAAGAGGATTTGCATTCCACAAGCTGTTACCTTTTGCTTCCAAAACTTCCAACGGTTTTAACGGCCCCGTCAACGTTTTTCCAACGGCTTTCCTAACGGCCCACAGGAGCTTGAGGACGAGCTGGAGGATGCCAAGTACTTGTTTGCGGGTGTGCCGCTGACTCAGCGGGAGTTGGACGATCTGAAGTACAAGGAGGAGGTGTTGCGACTGGCCAAGGAAAAGCAGCGACTCATGAACCAGGTGGGGGTGGGTCGGTGGGCGGCTGCCGGAGGTATCCCTCCTTACCCCTCCCTGTAAAAATGTGACGCTCCGTCGGAGGCCCCCTCACCCAAAAAAAGGGGCCCCCCGTGGGAGCGTCACATCTTTACAGGGAGGGGGGGTATAAGGAGGCGATCAACATGTTTTGGCGGAAATAATGTGTGTACTGGTGTAGGTGTGATGAAGTGCCGTGAAACGTGGTAGTACCAACAGCCAGTGTATCCACCATGGGTTGCTGGGGGTAGGGTTGGGCCTGGGGTTGGGTGAGGAGGGGATGCGGAGGGCGGCGGTGTAGGCACTCCCTTACCAGCCACGGATGCCTACTGCAACCGCAACTGCAACTGCAACTGCACGGTACCTCCTCGCCAAGAAACTGACAGGCACTGGCGCTCCGCAGGCGGCGGAGGACGGCTACCGGATGCCCGACTCGTTCGACGCCCCGGAGCGGTACGCGTCGAGGTATGACGTGGCCAAAATGCGGTACTCCGAGCCGGAGGGGGCGGCGGCCCGTGCTAACCCACACGCGGAACAGGAAGCCTGGGAGGCGGAGCAGATCAAGAAAACACACGTCAGCAAGGTAGGAGAGTGTGTCTGTATGTATTACATATGTATGTATGTATGTGTCTTTAAAAGTGTTGGCTAGGGTGTCTGGGTGTGTATGTGCTATTGAAGCCGGGTGAAGAAAAAGGGCAGGCGGGCGATGATCTGTATGTACACGTGCCGACGAGGGGATGGCGTGTACATTCTCTCTCACTCTCTCACTCTCACGCTTTCTCTCTTTCACACCCTTTCCACGCCCAGTTTTGCGCACTAGGCCCGCTCACATCTCCGCTCACTCACCGACCCGCCTCGCTCGTGAGCAGGTCGGCGCTCAAGACGCGGGCGCTGCTGTACAACAGTACGACTATGTGTTTGAGGACACGATGGCGTTTGTGAAGGCCGATATGCTGGCGGGTGGGTGGGTGGGGCAGTGGGAGTGACAAGGGGTACAAGACAAGGGGAAAAAGACAGCGGGTGAGCGAATCCGGACGCTTAAGGACTTCACCACCAGAACGGGATTATGGCCAGCAGTAGGCGAGCGGGTGGGGGCACCCCCCACCGGGGCTCCAGGGGGCCTCCAGGGCCGAGGCGAAGATTAGCTGGTGCATTATTATGGCTGATGAAGACAAGTTACAATGATCTCTCTCAAGGGATTGTCGGTGCATGCCGCCTTAGCTCACCCCCCCTACTTGCTACTGCTATTGTTGTTCCTACTACTGCTGCTGCGCCTACTGCTGTTGCTGTTGCGAATGGCTGCTCTGGTCTCGCTGGCTCTTCACTTGAACACGATCGGACTTTGCCTGATCAGGCAACATCGAGGAGCTGTTCGAGACACCGGAGCAGCGGAAGAAGAAAGAGGCGGAGGCGAGAGCCGCGGCGTGAGTGCAGCAGCAACGGCAGCAGTAGCGCTGTCCCGGCAGGGCCGGGGGGGTTAGGATAGGATAGAGGTGGGATTGGTGTTTGGGGTGTGTGTGGGGGGGCCCAGGTTGATAGGGGCCTGGGGTGTCTTTCGCCTGTGTGCATGCCTATCTGTACGTGTGGTTACGTGTCGTACGTGCCCAACTAAGCGGAGTAAGGCCGGGAGCGGAAGGGTGGATGAGGGGGAAGTGAGTCCTGGATGGGTGAAAAGGGGGAGAAGGGGAAAACGAGAGCATCCACCACCAGCGTACCTGCCAATATCTCCACTCGGCCGTTCGCGCACTGCTCTCAACGTACGTGTAGCTTGCATGTTCAGGTGATGGTCTTGTCGTCCCAACAGGGGGTGTGCATCGCACACACACACACCCACACACTCTGCGTAACATCCCTCCCTTTTTTCAACAACATACCCCCCCCACACACACACAATCCTCCCATAAAACTCCTTTCCCCCTTCAGTGCCCGTTCGGAGCGTGAGAAGATCGCCGCGGGTCGGGCCCAGCTGCCCGTGTACCCCTACCGGGATCAGCTGCTCAAGGCGGTGGAGGAGCACCAGGCAGGACGGCAGGGGGGATTCGAAAGTGTGATAGTGGAGTTAGGGACCGCACAATGGGGGGAGGGGAAATAGGAAACGACACGGGAGGAGATGGGAGGATAACATGGGAGCGGTCTCCTTGGATATGTAAATTACCCTTTCGGGGATAAGGCTGTCTGTTGGGGCTGAGAGACCCAATGGTGGTTGTTGTTCGGTTGGTATGGCGGTTACCTGTATTTGCATCGGTTATGTCAATATTATAGACAGACAGGCAGACGGACGGACGGACGGACATACGTCCTGCGCATGTCGCCCCGCAGATCCTGATCATCGTGGCGGAGACGGGTGCGGGTAAGACCACCCAGGTGCCCCAGTACTTGCACGAGGCAGGCTACTCGGCGGCTGGCAAGATTGGGTGCACGCAGCCCCGGAGGGTGGCGGCGATGAGCGTGGCGGCCCGAGTGGCGCACGAGATGGGGGTCAAGCTGGGCAATGAGGTGGGGGCGCGGGGGCGAGGTGGTGGCAACATTAAGATGAGGCAAAAAGGCAAGATGGGACTCAATGGCCGACACGTCCCAAGCGCCGCAACTGGGTGGAGTGGGCGGGGGCCGGGAGAGGAGGAGTGTTTACGGGCGCCGCGTGTGTGTGCTTGTGTGTGTGTGTGTGTATGTGTATGTGTGTATATATGGTTCTTGAGGTGATCCCCCCCTGTGCGGTTGGGCCCCCTTTCCCCAAATGTGCATGTAATTTGCTTACAACCCCAAACCTCCACATACGCAGGTGGGTTACTCCATTCGCTTTGAGGACTGCACCAGTGATAAGACCATTCTCAAGTACATGACGGACGGCATGTTGCTGCGCGAGTTCCTGTCAGAACCCGACCTGGCGTCGTACAGGTATGTACGGAGATGCCGTATTTCAGGGGTGAAGACCAGCGGGAAAATTGGAGGTGGTCGCGAGCTGGGCGGTGGTGTGGTCCTCAGCAAAGTGGATAACGCGGCGATGAAGGGGAAGGGTAGCTGGGAGGATTGAGGAAGACGGGGGCCCCCCAGGATGGTGGGAGGCGGCGGAGTGGCGGCAGTGCTGACCGATTCCTCTTGCCTTATGGGTGCAGACGTCGGTAGCGGGACTTGAACATGGTGGGTAGATTACGGGAATGCTCCTGTTTTTCTAAACCTCCGTGTCCTGCGTGTGTGTGTATTTCCCTCCTCCCTCCCCCTTCCCCTCGCCTGGTGGGCTGGTGGGCCCCAGTGTGATGATGATCGACGAGGCCCACGAGCGCACCCTGCACACTGATGTGCTGTTCGGACTGGTCAAGGACATTGCCCGCTTCAGGTGCGTGCGACACAGAACACACCAATGAGACCTGATACCCGCGACCTGCCGTGACCTGCCCACCACCACATCCACCACCACCACATCCACCAGCTGCTGCTAAGCGCTCCGTGACCCGGCGGTATTTGCGCTATGTTCTCACACACACACACACACAAAACGTCAAACAGCCGGTAGCTAGCTTGGTAGGTAGGTAGGTGGATGAATAGCGCCCACTTGGTGTCATTCGTTGTAAATTGGGTGATGATGGTGGTGGTGATGGTGATGGTGATGGTGATGGTGATGGTGATGGTGATGGTGATGGTGATGGTGATGGTGATGGTGATGGTGATGGTGATGGTGATGGTGATGGTGATGGTGATGGTGATGGTGATGGTGATGGTGATGGTGATGGTGATGGTGATGGTGATGGTGATGGTGATGGTGATGGTGATGGTGATGGTGATGGTGATGGTGATGGTGATGGTGATGGTGATGGTGATGGTGATGGTGATGGTGATGGTGATGGTGATGGTGATGGTGATGGTGATGGTGATGGTGATGGTGATGGTGATGGTGATGATGGTGATGGTGATGGTGATGGTGATGGTGATGGTGATGGTGATGGTGATGGTGATGGTGATGGTGATGGTGATGATGGTGATGGTGATGGTGATGGTGATGGTGATGGTGGTGGTGGTGATGGTGATGGTGATGGTGATGGTGATGGTGATGGTGATGGTGATGGTGATGGTGATGGTGATGGTGCCCGTGATGGTGATGGTGATGGTGATGGTGATGGTGATGGTGATGGTGATGGTGATGGTGAT